ATATTTGTAAAACAGTAACCAGAGCTCGGCCAAGGCTGTCAGCAGAAAAACGGCGAAGACGAGGAGGTCTCGATCAATCCGAGATATCGAAATTACACGGATCTACGAGGCATGGCGAGGCACAAAAGGAGACTTACCTGATTCTTGGCGAATTGGAACCACGTGGCGATGATGACCGGCAAGCGCGAATGATGATAGTGCTTGGTGGTCTTCACGCTGATAAACACGTCGTCGAGGTTCGTGGCGTACGGCGCCATGGTCGCCGTCGCCACCGGCGGCGTCACCGGCGGCGATTCCTCGCCGATTATCCTCCTCGACGCAGGTGCTTCCACTATCACGCTTCTGCTCACCTCCGCGACGTTCACCTCGTCAATCCACTGCAACCAAAAAGATACATTAGCAAAAATAAAGCATTAACAGTCAGTTCACGCCAATTATTCGCTACCAACACGTAAATTATCGATTTTCATTGATTCTACAAACGAGATCTTTTTATTGAACCAATTTTCCTCGGATGCAATTAATTACACATTAACGGGATACGGTAATGTCAAGAAGAACTCACATCTTGGTAGAAAGGCGGAAGCCGAGCCAGAACTCGAATTAATGAAAAAGCAGAAACTGCCGATTACTATCTGGCCACCACCGCGACTTCTGACTGACTTCTATCTTTCTGCTTTATCGCTAAATTCTCCCTCACAGTGTCGTAGTGTCGCCAATAACTAGCAGTTAACGGTTAAACAAATCGACATTTTGCTTCTAATTCAATTTCTATTTTTATCAAACATTCATCATATAATTTGTTAGAAGTCGCCGTGTTGAACGTATTGAAAATAGATTGAACTTATAAATAGATTGGATCTATAAATTTTTTGTTTGTGGGTAATATCATTTATGTGATATCGGAAAAGAGAGATTTAGGAAAATATCTAAAGATTAATAGATTGGAAAAGTAGAAACAGTGTGTCATAGAACTATTTTATGGAGGGAGGGGGAGGGACTGAAGACACCGCGACAAATGTTGCTTTTTGACAAGAAACGCAAGTCAACATAAGCATCATTCTGTCTTTGTTCTATATTCTGTGAGTAACAAAGATAGAATGATGTTGTGATGACTTGTGTTTATTGCTGGAAACCCAGTGAAAAATGACTTATTGATCGACGTCGAAAAGACGTTGAAATCATCAAACAGACATCGATTCGACGTCTTTTCGACGTCGATCGATAAGTCATTTCTCACTGGGAAACAACCAAGATCGTTAAATCGTCAAAGAACACACACACACACACACACATATATATATATATATATATATATATATATATATATATATATATATATATTTATTTATTATTGTCGAGGTATCTCGAGTGTAGTCGAATACGACGCCGCGCGATCTCATGATGAGAAACCCGCGAGAATTCCCGAGACAAACATCCGACGACCATCTCGCTCGAGATCGACGATATGACGCGACGGTTAGGCGCGTCGAGCGGAAACGCGCCATAAAATCGCGACGACAACGAGGATAAGATGCGATAAAGATCGCTCTAATTACCTGGCGCTGCGCGACAGCCTGGTAGAGTAAGATCGTGGCGTAGGAAGTGGCGAGTACGAGCACCAACGCCTGCAGACCGCGTCTCCGCGACATCATGCCGGCGGCAGTGGCACCGGACTCCGTGCCGACGACGTTGGCGGTGGTGAGCGACGAGTGAAGGCGCGAGCAGCTAGCGGCAAACTTATTGGGCCACCCTTGATCCACGATCACGAGCTCCGCGCATCTATCGTCCCCGGGGTTCACCTGCGGCCACGCCGACACAGCATCGCTGCCCTCCTTTCGTCTCACAAACGGAAATGCACCGACCATAACACACTAACTTCGTGTCCTTCCCGCGCGGTCACGTGACGTACTGACCGGCGGCGAGCTTCACGTCGCGTCGCACCAAGTACTCTCCACCTTATCTCTCTCTTTCTACCTTCTCTGACGACGAACGAATTCTTAAACGTACTTCTTGATCGTCCTTCGATCGCACTTACTCATGAAATCGCGGCTATGTTAACCAACACGACACGCCATTTCGCACCGGCGAAATACCATATCAACACAGGCCGACAAACGGAGCGACAATACGGAGCTCGACGGTGTCAAGCGACAATACGAAGCGATATACGCGCGCGCACCCCACGATGTTGGTCACGTGTTATAAAGACCCGCGCGAATCAAGCGAGGGACTTTCGAAAAGGGGTGACTCGAGCCGCGCTGCGTTTGGCGCCGGTCTTTCGATTTGCGCGACACGCTTCATTCCGTGATTATCCTGCCGAGGATAATTATCGTATTACAATGATGCTCTTGGTTTCAGTTTCGACGAGTTTATAGATGAGAGAGCCCGATAATCGACTCACTTTAAGTCTCACGGCAAGTTCACATTTGTACGCGATTATGCCAAGTGTTTGACACTGAATCCGAGTTTGTCACACACGACGAACCGTCGTTTCACCAAAATCGAGTTGTCGAGAACTGTCAACGCTTCGAGAGTAACAGATCGCGACAGGGCGATGCACGACGCGAAACACAATTTCGATTCTCGCACACACAGCACAATCACCTCCTGTTACCCGGCGCACGACGGCTAGCCGACTGATCACATGAGCCGTTGCCGTGACTACGCTGTAAACATCACCATAGCAGGCACGTCGCCGGCCGGTCGCTCGAGGAGGGGGAGAACGGAGCGAAAGAGGGGGGCGCCAACAAGCGTGCAGCCCTCCGAGAGAGGGGACAGATCGAGAGGTGCATACACTGGCGTAAATCGCTCTCTTTCAAATTGCAGCACGCGACCGACCGACGACGGAATGCTTTAAAAAAGCATTTCGCCTTGCAAAATATTTTTCAATAAAAATACAAACTTGTCGGACATGTACAACCATCAAATTTTGCTCATCAAATTTATACTCTGCGGACAATTTTCCTACAAATTTGTATGTAGAATTTTCAAACGTGGAAATGTAGTCTACTTCGCAAAATATTCTAAAAATATATATGTAATTATGTTTTAGTTAGAAGGCTTATTGAGAAATACAGCTTAAATTTACATTTGCTAAGTAACCGTATTTAGATGTATAAATGTACAAAAAGAATTTGTTGAATATTTCCAAATCATGATTTTGTACGTTTATAATACATTTAATGTTTCTCGTCTAATTCGTTCAAGCCACTTTAGATGCAGAAATATTGGATTTTGTATTAATCACGTATATATAAATATTGAATTTAATTTTTCAGAATCATGTAAATTATTCCAATTACACGTGCTTTAATATTATTCGCTCTGAATTGGTATATTTTCAATATTGTCAACATTAATTTGCACATTTTCATTATAACAAAATTCTGTATTTGCTAAGTATCCAATGTGTTAATCACATGGAAGGGCATAATAGGAGAGAGAAAAGGATTTATACACAATATCCAATAGAATACAAAACATAATACATATATACATACATACAATATATTTAACAATATTAAACTACAAAATCCATTAAAGATATGTAGGAAATTAAGCGGTAGTTACATCTTATCGACAAAAAAGTTTGGAAATTGAGTTCGCCTATATAAATTGGACGTCAATATTTCTCAGAGTTCCGCGTATAAAAAATATGTATATTCTGATACATAATCATCGATGCCAGTGTGATGCATATGATTCCTGTCATGCCACAAAGAGATTTACTTGTAAAAAGACTCAGCAAAGTTCTATGAAATATTAAATAATCTCGCAATTATCGGCACATCAGTTTAACTTTATAAAGCATCTATGATTAACTTTTAATATGTCCAGATTTCTAAAATCTAAAAACGTATTTTTCATGACGACACGTACGACAAAACTAAATAATCATAAATTGATTAAATGTAGGATACCGCTTGATTCTTCTAGTTCCTCACGGTCCTACAGGATTACCGTCGGTAATACCTTCAGTCGAGCTTCTCGAACAGAAAATTGTCCGCAGATCTCCTCAAAAGATGCATATCGAACATCGATATTTTTGTTTTACTTTTTACAACTCAACACGCAATGTGCGAAATGATGAACATGATATGCTATCACTAATTCCTAATTTCGTAAACATGCGACAGAATTGGGTGAAAAGATTGCTTAAATCGTTTTATTACAATACTTAATAATTAAAATAGTATTTACATTTTGTACATGATTCAATGCACTTGTCTCATATGAAAAAATTACAATATGTAATCATAAGTACTTATAATTACTGCAACTCACATATGTCAAGAATCACTGGAATCAATAGGCCACAGGATATTTGAAATTAAAACACTTTTTCTCTCTTAAAAGCCTTAGTTTGTTTGTAAAATACTATCTTTACCTCTAAAAGTATTATACAAAAAAACCAAGTTTTCTATAAAAGTTTACATTATCAAATATCCTGCAGCAAATATATGAAATTAAATGGATAGGTATATGATTAGCATTCAATTTTTGCAATAATCCTTTCACTGTCGCACCGATCGACGAAATTAAAGAATTTCAAATAAATATTTATTTGGCAAAAATATGTTGCACTTACTTAATAGTACCTTAAATAAATATATATCAAGCGGACTTTATAATGGCAGCTATATACTGCATTATCGTGGACCAATTTCATGCATCTTTCTCACATTGCGTAATTTATGTCGCTCTTTGTCGTAACAGAACTATACTATTATACATCTTAATAGCATGTCCTAGCCGTAGATCCAATAACGTCACCAAATCCTCTTGCGTCAACATCAAAAATGCTTCTCCATCGATATTCTATAATATAACGATAATTAATTAATTAATAATAATAATATTGTTATATCATTTTTACAGCATTATAATAGCGAAAGGACTTACATGCTTTCTGAAGACCGGGGCGATATCCTTACAGTTAGGGACACTTTGTATAAATTTGACGACTTCTTCGTTGGACCATCGTCGCGGGTTCGTATTTTGCTTAGCTACTATTCTATTTAAGGCATTACTATGTTTCGCCCATACATGCGGTGCCTCTGGTAGCGGATTGTATCCCGGGTTATATACAGACTGATATAGCTCTGTGCGCAGTTGTTTATCTGGCATTCCTGTAGCATACGGGGCAGGATGCCACGACAAATCGCTGTATGTGGAATTTGTAACTGAATATAATTGCTCTCCCGAAACATGACGTCTACAAATAAAACACACATTTTAACAACGGACTGTAATTGTATTATATATAGATCTTAGTGAATTTGAGAGAAAATATCGAAGCAACAAACCTTTTCTTTCGCTTCCTTGGAACTTCATCTTCATCAGTTTGTCCATTAGATTTGCAAGATCTGCGAAATAAAAAGGTCATATTGGTAAATATACATATGTAATGATGCTACAATCATAGTTACAGTTTTATGTTGTTAATGTCAACATACTTCTCCGAATTTTCTGATCTATTTTCACTTTTATCATTTTTGTCAGATGAGTCGCCATCTTCCTGCTTCATCTCTTTTTCTATCATCAATATCCTGTCGTCCGAAAATAAAAGTTTATCCAACTTTTCGGGTTTCTCCATCTTTATTTTGTCACTCTTTTCTAGTCTTGATTTATCTAGCATGTCATCCTCGAAATCACAGGTGTCATGCTTCGTGAAATTAAGTCTATCGGACATTTGCCTCTGTTTATGTAGATTTTGAGGTGAATACGGACAACCAGACGCAGAGTTATGCGTTGCGAATTTCGGCCCCTTTACGTGTCCTATGCCTCGACAACCATATGTACCGCATTCCGGACGATCGTTCAAATTATCTGGCGGTACTTAATAGTAAAATATATTAATAACATGGATGCATCATAAAATGTTTTGCAGTGCATATATAAAGTGAAATAGTAACTTACTTAGTGGCGGTTCTAGTGGATGACCCGTCTTCGCACACCAACCCACAGGATGAATATCGGTTGAGTCGTCGTCGACCCAATAAGCGTGACTTTCGGGCCAACCGTCGAATCGTATCTTCAACCTGTAAAAAATATATTTTATAGAACAAAAATAGAATGTGAGAGAAAGAGAGAGAAAACAAAATAAATTTATACAAACAAGTGATCTTTAACATCTTCGATCGTTGCCACTCTGATTAACTGTGGTACCCGTTTATCGACCGCTTCCAGTTTCATGCCACGTCTGAAACCACATGGTGGACGCTGTTTGAATGCCCTAGCAGGTGCCGCTATCGTTCGCGTCTCCTTTAGATATGCATCCCAAGTAAAGGATTTCGGATCCTTGTAATCTAATTGGACATATCACGATTACATACACGAAGAAATAAAAAGATGAAAATATATAGTTAATTAATTTAAGATTCTTACTATTCGGTGGTGTCAGGCTGTGACCATTGTGATGACACCATCCTACAGGATGAATATAAGGCGAGCTTGCGTCAGCCCAATAGTCATAGACCTCATCCCAAGAATCGAAATGTACTAATATTCGAGAGTCCATTAAACCAGCTATACTAGCGACGCAAACTAACGACGAATGTTTTCTATCTACCGCCTCCAGCTTCATGCCAACTCGGAAGCCCGTAGTGAAGACAGCTTGCAACGCGCTTTTATTCGGAAATATGTTCTTAGCTGCCGCGGTCGCCTTACAAACTTTTAGATAGGCGTTCCAGTTAAAGTTGCTAGGAACGTAACCCTTTGGCGGGTCCAATCGATGATTGTTTTTTTCGGACCAGCCAGCAGGAAATATGTCCATACTATCAGCATTCACCCAGAAATCGTAGTTTTCTGGATAACCGTCGAAATGTAGACGCATACGATAACCTAGTATTAATAATAAATAACACGGGATCTTGTAATGAATATACGCATTATAAAATAAATAAGTAAATAAAACTAATTATAAACATGCGTTGGGCAGGATATATGTATATACATATATTATGTTCGATAACTTACCCACAACTTCGACAATCGTCAGAACACAGTATCGAGAAGGACGTTCCGGATCTATTCCTTCTAATTTCATTCCTATTCTGAATTGATTTTTGCTATACGGGAAGGGATCCTTGAATAATTTAACAGGCGCTGCTTTTGCCTTACAATAATCAAGGTACTTTGGCCATGAAAAACCGAGCTTTCCTTTTAGCCAAGGATACTATACATAACACAAGATGTAAATTAAAATTAATTAGTTTCACTTAATTTAATATAGCGCGCATTAATAAAACATTAAATTTTCCATTTTATCTATACGTAAGTTCTACCTTGGACTCGGACGAGTCTCCTCCTTGGCTCTCATCGTCCATTCCTGCTATTGCATTCTCCTCATCCGTCTCAATCTTGTCATGCATCTTCTCATCAAACTTTTCATCTGTATCCTTTACCCATTGCTGCTCTTGTAATAACCTCTTGCGTTTTTTCTTTGTGCGTAAGTCCCTATATAAATATTTATATGAAAATTATCTTTTACAACTTCTTAATTGTTATATTTGTATCTTAAATAGGGAAGGGTTAATGTCCATTTATTGTTTTTACAATTATAAAAATCTTACAATGTGTAATACCTTAATATAACTATTTTATTCATATTAATAGAATAATATTTCAAAGAGCAAAATTTATGGTTAAAGCTTAGTGAATTTTTATATTTTAAAATATTTATATATTAGTCGCGTTTTTATTTCAATGTAGAAATATATTATTAAAAATTCAATTAAAAATGTTATACACAATACGTACTTTAGATCCTTGTCCTTTCTCCCAGGATGTTTTTTAGACTCTATCAGTTCTGTGCAAGAAGGACCACATGATATTGGACTTTCAAACTCAGCAGCTAATCCATAGCATCCGCAACCTTCGCAATGATACATCGTATCCACAGACAGCGATCTGGATTTTTTATCATCAGCTAAAAATATAAATAAGTTTTATTATAGTAACACATAAATACATTCGTCTATATATTACCATCACATATTTTTTGGAATTTACGTTTCTTCTCCACGCTAGCATTGTTAATTGTGGCAGGACTGGACTTTGAAGAATTTTGCGTTAAGCACACGTTTTCTTTGTCACCAATACCATCCTTATTCTGTTTACTGCCTTCATCTTCATCTACTACTTCCATGAAGCCAAACTCATTCATACGAAACTAAAAAACAAACAAGTTATTCATATACACACATATATATATATATATATATATATATATATATATATATATATATATACACACATATAAGAAATAAGAATTTTTAAATAATGTTACAGGACTGTGATATTTAATTCTAATGAATAGCTAGCTTTTCATTTTTTTTTCTTTATATACGTTAAAGTATATTTTTACAGATACCGCTATATGTTCACCTGTAAATTACTTCCTGGTAAAGTACCAACTCCGTCTTTCCAATCTAAAACTTTGGTCGCATCAAAATTCGAGTCGTTCTGTTGCGAAATGTTCAAGTGTTCCTTCGTCTCATCATGATTATTACTTTTTGTTTCACATTTATTGTCCGATACTGGTTCGATGCTACAACCGCTACAACTTGTTGGTGTCTTAATAATTTCTATTTTCACATCATCATCTATATTTGTGTTGAGTTTCGAGATCTTTTCCTCGCCGGGAATAACTTTGATCAATGTAATGTCGTCATCGTTGTGAACTTTCTTATCTTTATCTTCGGATTCTGGGCTACTCAATGCATAATTAACATCAACCAAACTATCTTGAGGAGATTTTGGGAGACTTTGCTTCTTCATTCGTTTCTCGCTAGAACCCCGTAATATATTACTAATAGTCTTTTTTCGCTTTTCTGGCAGGTTATTGTCTTCCTTCTTTGGAATAGGCGTAATAACTGCAGAGTCTGGATTTTCAGTAATTTTAATACTATCTATGGAATTAGAGCTGCCCTTATTTGCACTTAGTAAACTCATTTTCGCTATAGGATGCAATGGTGGCGGCAACGAAGTTGAATTTGATGTTTTTGATTCACGTAACACTAAAATACAAAAAATTATAAAAATTATATTTTATTTTAGCATAGCATGATTTTAATTAATATCTACTCAACAGCTTAATATATACTTTCTCAACAGCTTATTTTCAGCGTACCTGTTATGGTTCCTTTGTTTTCCGAATTAAATGAAGCAGTGGCAGCATTAATCTTCAAATTAAACATACTGGGTTTTGCAGTTCCACTTTGCTGAGGAATGGTTACTGGCAATAATAAGTTTGCCATATGCTTGGAAGACTGACTCTGAGAACCACTTGTGGTACTCGTGGACGTCTGAGATAGTTGAGATATTACTGGAGCAATTACTAATTTTGGCTTAGTAATTTGAGTTGTTGTTAAAGCTCCTGTTAGAATAAAATATCAAATAAATAAATAAACAATATTACAAAAAGTATTGTTATTAGAAAATTATAAGTTTTCATGAAGAAATCACTGATATCTTAATTTTTTATCAAAATTACTTTATCAATTTAAATAGAACAAAAAATATGTTAATATTTAATATTTAATATTTAATATTTTAATATTTAATATTTAATTTACTATTTATATTAGACAAATAAAAACTATATAAAGTTATAAATATTTTTTTTATAAAATTAGTAAATTATTATTTTTATATTATTTTTTCAACAATATTTTTTATCTCAGTGCTGCACGAGTATATTATGTAACATATATCAATATATAATTTTTCATATTTTTAATGTTTTATCACCTTATATTATATAAATTAAAAATTATAAAAACATTGACTCATCTGATCTTATTTATAAAATACAGAAATTCTCATTACCTGCAGGTATAACAACAGATTCCCGAGATTTGTTAGGTTTAATAAGAGTCCCCAAATATGCAAAAGTATGTTTTCCTGTTTGTGCATTTGATTGATTTCCTTGATTTGTATTCAGAGGCACAATCTGTGCAGTAGATGTTGTTGATTTTCTAAGTAATATATGTTTCTGAGCTTGTGGTGTTGTCGTAGAGCTGACACTATTCATTGGCCGATGAATTACAATATGCTGTTTACTTTGAGATGTTGTAACTTGACCTGGACTTTGTATAAACACCTTATTTTGCCCAGTAACAATCTGAAATAAAAGTACATTTACTGTTTAAGACCAATATAATAAAACAAAAAAAAATCCTAACTTTCTTTAAGACACCTTTCATTCAGAAAGAGCAAAATTGGTGATGAATATGCCAACTTTTATATAATCTTTATTTTAACTGTGCAAATATCACTAAATTAACTAGAACACACTTTGTAACCACGTGTGTATGTATATCTATATGTGTATATGTCAATATATCTAGTATGATAAAATAGTCTACCAAAAGTCTACAAAAAATACTAAAGTCCAATTAGTTCTAAATATTTAAATTTACACACATACTTTTCACAAAAAACTGATCAAATTTCTACATATTTTTATTCAAGTCTCACTATATGTAATGTCTGTTGACCAAATCTATATTTACTATAAAGAGATGCACCACTCACTGCCACCTACACATGGAATCTAATAAGACTCCATCCAAGCATTATATATATATATATATATATGTGTGTGTGTGTGTGTGTGTGTATATATATACATACACTCATACACACACACATGTATATATATATATATATATATATATATATATATATATATATAGAATATATATATATATATATATATGTATACTGAATATGAACTGTATTTAGTTGTCACATTTTACTTTAGTAGTATATATACGTATAACATAATATAATTCACTAAAAAACATGTTTTCAATTCAAAATTATTATGAATTCTTTAATTATACTCTTTATTCTTCTTTGTAATATTCAAGTTCTTATATAAGAGATATAAGCAACAAATGTATGCAATCAAAAATATTGATAGTAGCAATCTATTTAGAAAGATTCTAAACTTGTACACACAACATAAGTAACAAAAAGCCTATTGTATTGCACAAAATTAAAAACATGGCATTGTGCAAATGACCCAAGTGAAGGCTTATAAAAGTTACCTGATTGTTTACCGGATTAATAATGGCAGCAAGTTGTGTACTAGGTGATACAAGAGTTTGATTTGCATTTGTCGTTTGGCTGGAACGTAATTTACTTTGCTGAATATATAGCAGAGGCACTACAGGTGTTGTTGAGTCATCCATCTGCGTCTCAGCGCTACTATTCTCATCTACATCATCTACTACTATTTCTTCTTCCATTCTGTTAACAAATAGGCCAGTATGTTACCCAAAACAATCATGACCCTTTGTTATGACAGGAAAAACGTTCCCTCAAATATTTATAATTCAAACAGAAAATCCAAAAGTAAAAAAGTTTGAAATAGATATCTTCTCCAAATGAACAATTCATAAATTATCATAAGTCAATGTTAAAACTCAATTCACTAATTCCTTCTCAAATATAAAAACTCAATAAATTATAAAAAAATGTATATTCTTCTGTGTAAAATATAGCAAATAATTAAACGAACACGTTAATTCAGATAGAGTTTTATCTTATCATAAAATAAATCGAAACGTGATATTCCATTTTCGTGACATAGTCTAACGTGATTCATTAATTGAAAACGAAGTATAAATGTATAGTATGACGAACCTAGTAGACATATTGCTTGGTTTTCTTAGTAAATCACGTATCTACTAGTTACATAATTTGCACGGAATTGAAATTCTCAGTTCGCAAAGAATACAAGCCGCTCGTGGCAACGGAATCGTCGTGCGAACTCGCGCACTGGAACGGCCAACGCACTCGTCGAGAACACTCAGAAAGTGCGATTTGAATGGCGCGCCGAAATTATTTTCGCCGAGACACAGCAGTCACGTTCAACACTTTTCAACGCTTTGAAAATCCACTGTGCCCACTTGGATTGCACGTTACATGCGTTCTATGCGATCAGGCGCGTAACTGTACGCGAAAGACAGCGGTCGCCGTGATCGGTAACTCGTCGTTGAAATACTTTTGCGAATCGTTGTCGCACATCGTATGCAAGCACCACTCACAGACGAAGGAAGCAACGTACGTATACACACACGACACTTTTCACCGGAATAACGCCCGCGCGGCTTGTTCCCCCGCGTGATCTTTATCGCCCGCGTTAGCCACCGTTCTCGCCCGTGAATTTACCATCCAACAAACGCGAATGAAACCACCGTGGAGCCTGGACACCTTTAACAAAAATCTTCACGTATCTTTTGAGCGTTCGAGCCTAGACTTTGCGTACGGCTACAGCTACGACCCTATAGGCCAGAAACGCAGTGGCGACGGCGCGGCAACCCGCACGCTATTGGCTACTGCGCGTCGCACAGTGGACGGATGCAGCCCAGCTGGCCAATGGGGAGCGCGCGAACGCCTCTACATACCTAATTCCGTTCGTACCTACGTTACGCGTCGTCGCGAGATTTTTCAAGAGGAATAAAATTCTCGTTGCTCACGTTCCGCCGAATCGTCCCGCGGTCGCTGGTCGCGCGTATCGTCGTGATCAACTCGCCGTCTTAGAGAAACACGTGGATACTTGTCCCCGGGACCGAGCATGGATCCACCTCCCGCGCAAACGTCTCCGTGAAAAAAGGAAGCATCACGACTACATTTTGCAAACGCCAACGGCACTACACAACGCCTTTTCGTGCCACCAGCCGTTGATGATCGATCGAGACACGATCGATCGGCTACGCGAGCATCGAATTGCGATTAATCAGCAGATCGGTCGATCGATGCAATTTCAGACTGTTCGGACGGCACGAATCGCTCCCTTCTCCCCTCACCTTTGCCATTCTTTCGCACCTTTTAGGGCTCTCTTTCTGCACTCTCCTACACTATCTGCCCTTGAAACGAAACAAGTATATGCTCGACATCTTACTACGGGAAGAAAGCTAGGTGCGTATGTGTAAAGTGCAGCTGAAAAAAAATTAATCTTATGCTCGTTTACGACTATGGGTGGGCAATAATGGTGTATAGTGCACATGTTACGGCAACTACAATACCGATGAGAGAAAATTCACTGAAAATTACGAATCGCGAGTTTCATCCGCACTGTTACTACAGGCCTACTCCTGCTAACTACATCTCTTTTCACTCTCGTCTCTTTCCCGAGAAAACTACGAGTGGATATTACGTATGGATGTTATATTTATTGGTAACTTTAGTTTGTAACGAGATCAGAGCCGTAGTAAGATACTGACGAACTGGGTAGCTGTCAGGGACGCGGTCTATAAAGAGGGCGCAAAACATAATCGGGAAAACATTGATTGCGTACGGCAAAACGAAATGGTAGTGTGCGATTGGACATGCACTTCGAACGGTTCGGACACCTCGCGAGGCGTTCTTATGTTGGTATCACATTTGCTGAATAGTGATCAGCAGTCAACACATTTGAACACATTACGCTCGATACACCGAGCATTTTCAGTTCGCTAAAAAAACATGGCGACGTTTGAGCAAACGTGTTGCAGCGCTACAGACCTCCCAGTACCGTTCGGTGTAAAATCATTAAATAAAAAAAAGGTAGAAAACAGGTGCATCTCGCCAAGCACAACCGTTGCCAAGTTAGTCACTGTAGATTACTGAACTGTTGCTGTTTCTACATTGGCCGCATTCTTTGTTGTATCAAAGTATTAAAAGAACGTCGAGTGAAATAATATAATAATAATATGTTTGCGTTATACTGGATATTTCTATTGTGCGTCGAGTCACACGTTAACTGAGCACTGCAGTTATCTCGAGTGGTACTCTCTGATAATTCAATTTATCAATGGATATTGTTAATAAAGAATACAGTAATAGGTAATATGTATTAAAATATTAGAAGTAGAATAGTCAAGGACGTCGCGGGTTTGTTACAACTCTGAGCGAAATGTTTACAGTAACAGCGATTCGACGTGATTTTCTACATTTCGGACAACTCGGCAGCTACAGAGTTACGACAGTTTGTTACTTTCGAATCTGTTCGTGAACGCTCGTAAACGCGACGACGTGAACGCGATCGATACACGCTGGAAGGCACGCTCGCGCTTTTCAGCGCGAACCTTAAACGCGATTCAAGTGTGTTGCCGAGTGTCGAATCGACTACGTCATTATTGTTTACGATCGAGTCCGTTTACGAGCTAAAAATGCATTTTAACGAGCAATCGCGCGAATGCATTGTTACTAATGCAAATATACCGACAAGTTCAGGGTTTCTCAATTATGAATAAAATTCTCAAATATGTTACATAGCCCAATAGAAGCGAGGGGGGAGGGAGCAGGGCATGCGCGGGCGCGTCATATGTTGATTGGTCGGCTAAACAATACATCGATATAATCCGGAAGATGCTTCCCCGCCTTGATACTCGTGAAAAAATACGCATACAAATATATTGGCATTATGATTACGCATTGTTCTCGCGATGTCGGAGACGCATAAGTGTTGGGTAAACGCGAACGGTACTATATACATGACGCATCGATCGTTTTTCCATTGCAAAATGCATTCTCGCAAAAATATATGACACCGCCCATATAGCAGAGGTGTCCAAAATATATCACAGGGATATCCTAAAGATATATTTGGGATATGCGATATCTTCAAGATATCCTTATGATATATTTGGGACGTTCCTGCTGTGTGGGCGTAAACACGTACACACACACACACACACACATATATATATATATATATATATATATATATATATATATTAGGCATCGTAAATTATAGATTCAAAATTGCAAAATTAATGCTGCATTATAACCTAATGTTCAGATACTTATGTCGATAATGCAGATCAATCATGCCACAGCTGTCTGTTAGATGGCAACACCGATGTCATTCATAACACTCAAATTCCTGTTCTCGCCAGTTCCTTGTTTTTGTCAACTCTATGTGTAAAGGTCCTTACAGAATGTCAGATAAGAGGCAATAGAAACAGGGAATAAGAATTCAGATTGGTCAATTATTTCTGTTCCCTTTTCCTATTGGTTAATGCCTATTCCTATTACCTGTAGCACAGCATTGTGCAAGAACTCTAAAAATACACATTTTGTAATTCATATTCTTTTATCCTTCGTATCCCAAATTTATGGTCCAAAAATTATGAGAGAATAGTACAGAAAATTTTACTTACAAATATAATAGCAAATTAAAAAAGTCTGGATTTTCTCGTACAGTACATGTCTAAAATTTATATTTAAATCTTGAAAGATGTATAAAGTAAGATATCTTTAAACATCTTTTTAAACGTCTTTAAGGCTTCTATTAGACATTTAAAGCATGCTAGTACACTTGAGTGAATATAATGCATTGTTGATTCATAGTAATGAAAAAGTTGAGAAACTTGACCTATGAGGTCAGATTCACGAAATGATTACTATGAGGATGGTTTAAAGAGCCATCTTGTACGTCGATCAATTCAAAAACACAAAATGGCAGGAGCAAGACATATCGATGTTCCGTGATATAAATCTGCCAACGATAAGAAATATTTGCATAATTAATGACCACAATACATTTCCATCTCGAGAGTTACTACCGTTTTCTTCTAACCATCGCTATATCCTATCTCTATTTTTAGTACGGTGTCCCGAATACGAAACGCGACTTTGGGTCTCATTGATCAATCCTGCGGAATCCGTTTTCGCGCGAAGAACTAATTAGTGTGTCAGATACATGTCCTGTACGAACAGCCCCGTTCGATATTTAGCAAAACCGAGACGCGCTTTCCTAATAAAGTGTAGTGGCAGGGTGAGCAATGTACATTCACAAAATTTCGACTCACGTATCGTGTGATGCCTGACAATATACTTTCTCGAAACGGGAATGAGCATAACGCGAGCAAAACGTCATCTCTCTCGTTGTAACCTCCTTCTATTTAACGTTGCTATGCAGCCTAACCTCCAAGTCGCGGATGCAAGTCCAAGTGCATATTATTTTATGAGAGTGTGAGGAAACCCGTACTCTCCTTGTGGAAATATCGATATTCGACGCGAGCCAAGAAACAACACCGCGCACGTGACACCACGTCACATAAAGAATCGGTTAACACGATCAAATCGTCAATGACGGTCGATTCGACCGCCGACTCGAAGAATTTGGAATAATAAATTGTTTTTATCTCGGCAATATATATACGCCGCTATATGACAAGCTAAGAAACGATTTATACGTACGCGATCGATTTGTCGCTCTGTGTTTAGCCATAGTTTTCCCTAAGCTTTATTTCTCTTAAATTTTTCTACGTCCATTTCCTTCACGTTTCGTATTTCGTTTATACTATCTTGTATTTGAAAGAGTAATATTGTTTACCTAATGTGTCCCTAAGGAAAGTATGATATGCATCTCTAAAATGATTCAATGTGTGTATGTGTGAGTAAAAGTCATAGAATTACTAAGAGCCTTTCACATGTGTGTGATAACATATTCATGTCATAGTACATTCAGAGATTCATAAACTTACAAAATTTCGTAAAATGATTTTATGCGAATGGCGTGCGAACTGGCGAGTGATTGACATACATGATCTGTTGAATAACACGTATACAGTCGCGAGTACAATTTGACGAGGTGAATTTAGTCGAATATGAAAACGAAAAACTTGTTGCAATACGTGAAACGTTGAGCTATCATCGAGATCGTATTGTGTTTACTGCAAGTGCTGCACAATTTCACAGTGTATCATGTGAAAATGCAATAATTGCGAACCGCATCGTCGTGTTATATACTTACTAGGAAAACAGCGGAACGTCGGTGCTTGAAGCGATGTTTTCAGCAGCCTCCTCGTGCAACCGGTAGCTGCTGCCGGCCGCAAGAGGCACACGAAAATTGGTGACACCCGGTGAATACGTACACACGACTTTGCACGCCGACGTTAGTTTACATACCAAGGAAATATAGCGAATACACAACTCTGCTTTCAAAGTTAGCAGCCACCACCATTATACGACGAGAGAAAGACTGACTTCACGTATAATTGTATCATTTGTACTCAATCTACTCTCTCTCTTTCTCTCTGCAGTGTCCGAGTATATATTCGTTTCGTTTCTAGTGTAAGAAGTGCAGAATGCGCGGTTCACATGCGTATTGGCACCTCTCACACACACATCCAACGTGAACGCATCGTTACATTCTTCCTACGCATGCGTCGAGAAAGCGCTGAACTGAACCGTGTATGGAACTCTTCGAAATGGATTCCAATCAGAATTATTCCGTTATTAACCAGATTTCTATTGTTTTTTCTAGATAAAACGTAATTATCCCGATTAGAACTGCGCGATTTCGCAATACGTGCCCAGCAGAATTGTATATTGTTATGTTCCTCTTTCTAAAGTGTGTTCATTTTTTAACTGCACTATGTTGTACTTTTCTGTACTTAAGACAAGATACACGTATGTCTGATATAATTATTCTCGATCATACTTAGATACGACACAAGTACGATCGCCTCACTTATGAAAGAGCAATCTAGGTCCTTGGTGTATTGGAAATCGTAAGATATAACATGTGGACGCTGCACCTACACTACACGCATGCTCAAAGATATCCTCAGAAGTCTTACTTTTCTTTAACGTCTTTTGGATGCCTTTGAGAAACGTGTATTGTATGGGTGCATGTATTAAAAATTGTACAATTTCCAATGTACTAAAATAATGTTCGGCTTTATTAATATCGATTAAATTTTAATCTGAGTTTAAACAGTTTTCAAACAAAGATGTTCAAATGAAATTTTCAGACAAAGATAATTCAAGTCAAGTTAAGATTTATTTCACCATGATGAAATCAGACATTAAATTACGTTTTTACAGTAAGTAAGTAAGGTGATCGTATTGTGTCATATTTAAATATGACCGAAAATAATTATTACGAATAAATATTACGAATAACCTAGATAGAACAAACAGTCAAGATAATATCAATCTGACATCATTTTGACCAAATATTGATCAAATTTATGTTATTTTTTGGTGAAGATAACGTGAAATCGACATTATCTTGACTATTTATTCTACTTGGGTATACGTATCTTGCTTCAAATACAGCAAAAAACAATTAAAAAATGAACATATTGTAGGGAAAAACATTAAAATATATTTCCCGTGTTATGGAATTATCACGTTTTCATATATTAATACGTCAACCTTTCCATTTCTAATATAAAATCTTATTTATAGTTTATACTACTTTACTTACCGCTAAAAAATTGATCCTTATCTGACTGCTTTTCTACTGAAGGCAAAGATTTATTCTTCAATCTATGTAGTCCAACGGTCCAACTTGCTTTTGTAAAAATTGGATCCTGCTTTGCAATAGCATCTACAACTGATCCCGGATGTGATCAAATTATAAGTAGCTGATATTATTTAATATCTGATCTAATTTTCTGATCTAATATCTGATCTTAGTCTGATTTTAGTAGCTGATCTATTTAGTTTGGTCACATCCGAGACTCAACACAGATAGCGTTAGTAGAGTTCCTCTAATAAAAGTTACAGCTCCTGCCCACAGGACGCGGAATCGCTGTTGCGCAACAAGAACCAACGCGGGCTGCGTTCCGAAATTCACTGCCAGTACTGAAATTTTATAATATGCGTAACATGAACTATAGATTTTCAGTACTGGCAGTGCATTTCGGAACGCAGCCGCGATAGCCAATAAACTTCTAACTCTTATGGAAAAGCGGCACGTTAATTAACTACCGTGTCCCGCGACAAACATTGCCGCGTCTTGTAGGCAAAAGCTATTAAGGCCGGTATTCATAGTCGAATCTTATTTTAAGACCGTCTTAAGTAATGTCTTAAGATGCGAATACAGCTCTGTGATTGGTTCATGACATCTTAAAACTTAAGATGAACTTAAATATAAGATCGGACTATGAATACTGACCTAAGATATCGTTCATTATTTGTAAATGTAGATGTTGCCTAATGTAGATAAGATTCATTTGACGCTATAATTGCTTCTAAGAGTGGTATAAACCAATCACAATCGTTCTTAATGCGCTTCAAAGTATTTGTAGTATCAAATGAATCTTAACCAATGAGTGAGAGGAAAATTGCAACGTGCTTGTCATTTCAGTCTTAACTTCTAGGAGTCGATTCTGTATCTCGAAACGAAGTGAAAATTACAAAAGTGAGCAAATATACTCGTAATTTCATTGGTCAGTGCCTAGTGAATGTGCTCACTTTTGTAATTTTCACTTCGTTTCGAGATACAGAATTGACTCTCTCTCTTATTTTTACTAGGTTTCTCTCTTACTCTCACTTACATTAGATGAATACTAATGACGGACAGGATATGGACTAATCAAGAATCATCAATGTCCTAATTTTTAGGGCTATTACATATAAAATAACATAACTGCATATGTATAGCATAAGATTGTATGGACCAATGAGATATGTATGGATTGTGAGAACCAATTGAATATTAAGCATCGAGTATCAATATGGCGACTTAATACTCGATGTTCATTGGTCTATATGATTTGCTATGCATATGCGGCTACAGCTGCGTTTTAAAATTTATTGCCAATATTGGAAATCTATAGTTTATGTCACATAAATTATAGATTTTCAGTACCGGTAGTAAATTTTGAAGCGCAGCTGTAAAATTCATGAATCTGACTGCAGTATGCTCTTAATTTTGGTTAAATCCAAGAGCATATACCAATCAGATTCACGAATTTTACACAGTTGCAAAGCAGCTTTCTCTGCTGAACGCAGCCATTGCTTGGTCTATGTATATACGTCATTATGTGATAGCTCTTAAATCCATCGCACATGAAATGATATAGTTGCATATGCATAGTATAATGGCTCCTGCACACAGGATGCGGTAATGCTTGCCGCGCGGCGGAAGTTCACGCGACAGCCAATCAATATGCTGCTTTCCGTAATAACCTTCTAGCTCTTACGGAAAAACAATATATTAATTGGCTATCGCGCGGACTTCCGCCGCGCGGCAAGCATTACCGCGTCCTGTGTGCAGGAGCCATAAGATCAACTTAGTCCCGATCTACAATAAATGTAGTAAGCTTTAAGCTTTAAGAAATTGACCAATCATAGTCGAATTATAAAAGAATAATCAATCGTGATTGGTTAATTTCTTATTGCTTAAAGCTTATTACACCTATTGTAGATCGAGACTAAAGGCTGGTTTATAATGGCCGTAATCCGTTAACTTATACCGGAACCGTAAAAACTGACCAATCAAAGTCGAATTATAGAAGAATAATCGATTGTGATTGGTCAATTTTTTACGGTTCCGGCATAAGTTAACGGATTACAGATATCATAAACCAGCTTTAAGGCCTGTTCTACAATACGTCGTATGTCGGAACGCAATCAATGGTCTGATCAGAAGAACTCGTCTGGAAAAATAAATCTTCTGATTGACCTATCGACTCCGTTCAGACATTCGGCAGCGACATATGACGTATTGTAGAACAGGTCTAAATGCTGGTTTATGATGGCTTTAATCCGTTAACTTATGCCGGAACCATAAAAAATTGACCAATCACAGTCGATTATTCTTCTATAATTCGACTATGATTGGTCAATTTTTACGGTTCCGGCATAAATTAACGAATTACGGCCATCATAAACCGGTCTTAAGAGTTAGGGTACTATTTCACGTGTCGTATGACAAGCTTTTTGGATACGTTTATTGGTTGGCGAATAGAGTATTTCTAGGTTCTCTATTCGTCAACCAATGAACGTACCCAAAAAGCTTGTCGTACGACACGTGAAATATCAGCCTTAAGGTGATATATATCACGACCAATCATGACTCGATTTTGTTTATGATTACGGATACGAATATGTTTACGAACCATTGGACCCGCACCTTTACCCCTTGCCACAACCTTGCTTTAATTTTTAAGCCGTAATGCAGGATTCACCTCGCGTCCGATATCCGACGTACGACGTCCGATATCCAATAGGAGAACAGCTTTCTAATAGAATTCAACTCTCCATTAGAAAACTGTTCTCCTATTGGATATCGGACGTTGTACGTCGGACATCGGACGCTGTGTGAATCCTGTATAAGGGTGCAAACCCATGCAGCGGAATAGCGGAGCACGGAACGAGAGCGGAACCAATCACAAGCGTTCTACAGTTTTCGCTCGTGATTGCTTCCGCTCTCGTTCCGCGCTTCTCTATTCCGCTGCATGAGTTTGCACTCTAAGAAATTGACCAACTACAGTTGATTATTTTTAAAATAATCGACTGTGGTTGGTCAATTTCTTACGGTTTAAAGATTAAAGCAAAGTTGTGGACAAGGGGTAGGTGTAGTAAGCTTTAAGCTTTAAGAAATTAGTCAATTATAGTCGAACTTTAGAAAAATAATCTATTGTAATTGATCAATTTCTTACGGCTTAAAGCTTATTATATCTATTGTAGATCGAGACTTAAGGGACGTCTACATTGGAAGTAAGCAGTAAGAAGTAGGAAGTAAGAATAAGAAATTAACCAATCATAGTTGATTATTCTTCTCACATTCGACTGTGGTTGGTCAATTTCTTACTCTTACTTCCTACTTCTTGCTATTTACTTCCAATATAGACGTCCCTTAACAGAATCGCATTAAGAGGAGTCTACAATAGAAATCGTAAGTCGTAGAAATTAACCAATCGCGATCGAATATGAGAAGAATAATCGATTGATCTATTTCTACGATTTACAACTCTACGACTTCTATTGTAGACCCCGCTTTACTGATCCGGTCGACTAACAAACAAAAACGGGTGGGACTCGATTGATCACACTACGATTGGACACAGATAGTAATAATTGGTTCGACCTGGTAATTCACTAGATAATTCTTTGCATTGGTTGGTTGTGTCCAATTGTACCGTGGTCAATCGGGACGCTCCCAGCAAAACGTTTCAGCATAAAATCATGAGATAGATGGCGCTACGAAATGTGAATACACTACGTTGAGGGAGTGCGCTATCGACACTGTTGTGTCTTTCTATTTTTATTATTATTTTAGATCTATATAACAAAGTATATATATATATATATATATAACAAAGTATATAAGGATGTATATATAACAAGATATATGTATATATAATAACGTTTTATGAGTGACAGCATAGACTTTTCTATAACCTATAAGGAAATCAACTAATCAGATTTTTTCATTTTACTCTCCAAGATAGAAATAAAGAATCCTGATTGGTTGATTCCTTTATGTGTATGCATTATGCAAAAGTCTGTGATCATGTCCTTTGACTTTTCGCACACAAGACGCAAAAACGCTTGCCGTGCGGCAAACACAACGCGATAGTTAATCAACGTGTCATTTTCCTTTCAGAGCTGTAAGTTGTACCGTATCATTTTTCGTCGCGCGACAAACGTTCCCGCGCCATATATGCAAAAGTCAGTAGGGACTCTATTCCGTAACCACTTACCGACAATTGTCGGATCAGTAGACGTCGTAGCGCAGTTTTTTTATACCATGGAAAAGCTGTGCAACGACGTCTACCGATCTGACAATTGTCGATAAGTGGTTACGGAATAGGGCCCCTGGTAACATACTCCCCAAATGCACTTCCCAGCAAACACAATGTTACAACTAATATGTACGTTACATGTAACATTGTGTTTGTTAGGTTATGATGAAGAAAGAAAACAATGTGCATTAAGTACATTGAATTTTTAAAATCCGTACAGTTTCGCTAAAGAAACATAAAGAAAGTAGCCTAAAATTTGGGCCGTAGTATTGGAACGGTACACTAGGCGGTTCTTAAAACTTATATTTTTATAATCAGCTTAAGGCCTTTAATTTGGTACCTATTTTAAGTACGTTTTTCATTGCTCAGAAATGGAGCACATGTTGGCGTCACTCTTTACGCATGTATTAGTCAAATGTTATATATATACACCTGTTAAATACTTTTTTCCAAATGAATCTTTTTTTTGGAGTTGTTAAAAAGAGAAAATTATTATAACCGACGTGAAGCGGTTTCAAAAGAAAGTAAAAGATAGCTTCCACTACGTGTTGCAAATGCTTCGAAACGCTATGTAAACCAATCATAGTCTCTTTTTATGGACTAAAAAGCATTTGTAACTTTAAATGGATCTTATCCAAAGTCGATTATCATGGTGACATTTGTTTGCTTCAAAATGAACTACTAAATACGTTTTTTCTGTTCAGAGAATTGGAAACAGAAGTGGCAACAGCTAAAGATTATTTCATCCCAAAGATAGAGGTTCTTGCATATGACAAACAGACGCATCAACGAATCATTGAAGATAGTAAATAATGGAAAATTAATTGACCATTGTGTCGCATATCGCACAGCTTATATATACATATATATATATATATATATATATATATATATATATATATATATATATATATATGTATGTAAGCTTAATGATTTCCCTGGGTCTTTGTTCAGAATAATAATCTCGTGAACAATGCGGTTCTGTGAACAAGAAGCGAAATCTCTACAAGTTTCGACGAGTTCAAATTTCCTTGCCTATACGAAAAAGATCTCTACATTTGCTCGTGATGACTTGATCGTTCGGACTGGCGCAATTTTACGATATTATTATAAATTCATCCTGTTAAAAATACAGCTGATATTAATGGCTATTTTTTACCATTGAAACGCATACATAAATCTCCGTGAGAATAGCGCATTCGCGCAGTGGCGTAGGAGCATTAAGTGACGACGCACAGCGTATTTTTCAGTATCAGCTGATGGACTTGATGTACCTTTCGTCTTATCAAAACACGAGTGCCGTCACGACGAAGTCCGTCTCAGTATATTATGGCAGTACGTGGTGTAGCGACGTGGTGGACGTCATAACACGACAACGTTCGTTGTCGTCGCGAGTAAATCGAAGAAGCAAACTTGTCTCTTGCATTAACGAAGACTCGTCGACTTCATTTCATCAGCTGTCGTTGTTAAATTATATTTTCACCTGACACATCTCCGAATCGTGTGTCGAGATTCGTGAGTTGTGTGCTTCAAATCGAATTGCATCCGCATTTCGTTCAGTTGTCACGAACGTGAGTTAACCAAAGAGAGAGAAAAAGAAAGGGAGAGGGGAGAGAGAAAAAGAGAGAACGCGACGAGACACGGCATTGTCATTATCAAAAATTCACGTGTAAGTTTAAAATATACATTTCTCTTCTTCGTCATCGCGGAGGTAGTATCTGACCGTTGTGTGTGTATGTGTTATGTTACGAGAGAGAGAAAGAGAGAGAGAGAGGCCGCCGCTATGTCACCCGTTGCATCATCGGTTTATCATCGCCGATAATCGAATTAAAGATCGCGAAAACGTCGAAACGAGTTAACAACGATGTGCTTAATAATCTCGCCGTTGTGCTTCCATATTACTCGTAGTTACACTTTGACCTAACGCGACTTTATTTTTAAAACTGAGACTCCTTTTCATCTGAGGCCTCCATATTGTATTTCTATAAGTATTTAAAAAAATGTCTGTGCTGCAACAAGCTAATGAAATAACGATTATTATTGCACAAATAGATAGAGAATGTTTGGGTGACTAACTATTGGCTCTAATTATTTCTCAGGTCAAAGATTTTTTACAACTACTATCTTATATAAAACCAATGCCTTGGGAATACGTGATATATTAACATTTATAAATATAGCTTTTTCTGACTGTATTTACACATATATATTTCTTATCATTCTCCTTCTTATACTTGCTGCGTTTTAAGAACAATATTAACTCAAAAGGCTGGAATTTCCTCTACTATCTTCCTTCATTTGTATATTTATATAATAGTTTGATTAACATATATTGATATATGTATTAATAATATTACAGGATATTTAGTATTTTTGCAAACATGGGAGGAGCAGTAAGCTGCGGGCAGGACAATGATGAATTAGTGGATAATTTAATGGAATCTAAATATATCAAAACAAAGAAGGTGGAACAAGTTTTTAGAGCTGTAGACAGAGCTGATTATGTGTTATCCTCTCATAGAGATAGTGCTTATAAAGACTTAGCTTGGAAACATGGAAATATACATCTGTCAGCTCCATGTGTATATAGCGAAGTAATGGAAGGACTTAGTTTTGAACCTGGTTTGAGTTTTCTGAATCTTGGATCTGGAACTGGCTACCTCAGTACAATGGCTGGGTTGTTATTAAGTAAGAAAAATTATTATTTTAATAAACATATATCGTATATATGTGACACTTTTCTATCTTTTTTAGAACAACATGGTACAAATCATGGTATTGAGTTACACGAAGATTGTCTAAAATATGCATATGAAAGGCTAGAAGATTTCAAACAAAAATCATTAGCATTAAATGAGTTTGATTTTTGTGAACCATTATTCATACAAGGTAAAAGAATAATTTTTAATACAATAAATTTCAATAAATGTAAGTTTTGCTATTATCATAGTATTGAATTAATATGATATGGTTTCATATTCAACAGGAAACTGTCTCAGTATCATACCTGGCAGACAATATGATCGGGTATATTGTGGAGCAGCATGCCCTGAAAGTCATGAGTTGTTTATCAAGCAATTTGTTCGTGTAGGTGGTGTACTAGTAATGCCATACAGAGATAATTTGATCCGTGCAGAAAGAGTGAACGAGAATACTTGGATGCATTACACATTACTTCCCGTGTCGTTCGCTAATCTAATTGTACCTTCGGCATCGGAACATAATTTACTTCACCTACGTAAGTAACTCGAATGTAATTTACCTGTCTTCTCTGTCTTCAATTTTAGATACATTCTCAACCTTTAATGTCTTCCTTTCGTCGTTGGTCGATCCACTAACATGGACCTTCTGTGACTTAGAAAAAAAATAGTTATATTTTTAGTTTTCATTGCAAAATATATCATGTTCGTGATACAGTTCTAAATTTATACTTTACATGCTCACGAAATTTCTAACAAGTTTTATTAAATTTCATGTTGCAGCGGAGTGCGACCCCTTGTCCCTGCAAGAACTCTGCCGCGGTAAAATTCGACGTCGTCTGCGTGAAAATATTTGGAAAGAGCATCCCGATCTCGAGACCAAGAAGCCTATAATACCGGGTCAACGAAAGCCAAGTCCTCAACAGCACACCCTCAGACGTTTCGTCATACCTATCTTCGAAGAAACCGATGAAGTCCTGGACGACGAGGACCAGGATTATCCTAGCGCGTTGTCTGAACGTCGAACGCGCTTCCTGCTGAATGTAGATGCCGATACAGGCGAGGCTATCACCACGACTCTACAATTGGTGCGCGCTGTCATACAACCGAATTTGACTGAAGATCAGCGAGAAAATCAGCGAGAGGATGCGAGGACAGTCAACGAAGATGCTCAAAATGTTAGAGAAGCTACTCCGGAGAATAGTCGCGAGAATAATCGAGAAGATGCTCGAGAGATTGCGAGCAGCACAAGCGCTGACGACGATCAACACGAACAGAGACGAAAATCCGCCAAGATGAATTCCTCTTTAAGCACAAATAATGGCACGACGGGTCACAGTTCCACCGAGTTCGCCGATACATCTGATAACAGCAGTGAGACGCGGAACGATAGAGAGATATCGTCGACCGCTGCGACGTATTCCAACATGAGCGAAAGTGAGAGTGACACCGATCAAGAGAGTCCTTTCCTGCAAGGCAACAAAATCTTGAAACGCAAGAAAACGGACAGTGGCATAGTGGAAGATGCGAATCTCAGCAACGAGGAAGGCAGTCAACCCTCCAGTCAATCATCCAGCCAATCTTTCAGTCAGTCCTCCAGCCAGTCCTTCAGTACAAACGCTAATCACGAGGATTCAGACGCTACTGACACAATGGATATAGATTTGCCTCCTATATCGATCAATAGGTCGTGTAAAAATGTGTACGGTTCCCTATCGAAAGACTCTACCTCCAGTGACAAAAAAGTTATTGGCCATTATGTAGATAACAACGCGTTCGCCGGTTTTATGAGAGAGAAGATACAACAGTTACCGTTGCCTTTCTCCGTGAAACTGTATATAAATTACAATCGAAAATTCTAAAATAAGCAAAATATCTTATTCTCTTATTTAAACAAATATATAACTTTTTATTACGCAGGACAACTCACCGTTTCTTCTCTCGATCATTTCTCGTACGAGATTATTATATAATCCACGCGAAAGAGTACTGTTTCGTTTGCCAAGTGCCGATGTTTTCAAAACGAGCTCTTATCTCGAGTTGTCTTGAATCTTGAAACAGTATTCGATCGCCACTAATACATCCAATCTTGTTGGCGGATATCGATGAATCACTAAATTGCAACTTCTTTTTCAGTTCTCTAGTTGGAGTAGTTCTCGTATCTGTTACTGTCACTCAATGTAGACTACATAGATCACGATGTAGCAACATGAATAATGTTAACATCTGGCTGCGCGAAACGGATGCTCCACCTTTCCTGAGAAACCATTTCCGCAAATCCTGCATGATGTACTTATAATCTACAGCTTTAAATTTCTGAGACTTAGATTTCCCTGACTTTTGTATGGATTACTACACTGCATGTCTGTTAATCCCAAGGCTATCTAAGTTTCTGGATCCGGACAAATCTCCAAGGTATTATTTCTAAGTCAATCTCATTTCCTTTTCCAATATTATTAGAACACCAATTGTCTTGTCTCTCTTCTAAACTTTTAAAACGTATTATCGATAATATAAAATGAAAAAGAAACTAGGTAAATCGAAGATACGCGCATGTTTGCAGAGATCGCGACGAAAATGTCAATTTCAAGCGCATCGAGTTAGATCTAGACGGCAAAGAAAAGATGTGAGAAACTTTTGGACTAATAATCCAAATACGTGCGGAATATTTACAATTCCAACGAGGGATGCTGGGTACCTTCTGTTGATAGCACCACACTCCCACGTTGGAACGTTCGTACACGGAGCACGAGTTGGTCTGCGTGGGGTGCACTGAGGGTGCGCGCGGACAGATTGGTGGTGCGCGGAGGAGGCTGACGCCCAGCGATTCGACAGATCGCGCGGCTCTGTGTATCCGTCGTGATAAGCGAAGGACGGTCAGTGTCGGTACATATACACAATACCTTGCTGACGACGAGGTCGTATCGAGAAGGTGTCGGTCTCCTGATCACTCGTTTATCCTCGTTTATTATTATTCTTTGACGGAACTGTGAGCTGCTTCATCTCATCGCAAGTCATCGCGAATCTCTCTCTCGACGATGTACGATGGACGTGCATCGGACACCCTCGGAAATTCGCGTTCTGCGTGGAATTTGCAAGTAAGCTCCGCTGCCAGCTCCTGCTTGTGTGCGACGAAGTATCGACATCGTCATGTTGAAGCATTTTTGACGTGAAAAGAAACTAGAAGGATGGCCGATTAAAGGGCGACGGTGAGGAGAACGAAGACAGCTCGGCGCGGTCGTTCACACTCCAGAGTATCTCGTGATAACGCGTTGAGTCCACGAGTAAGGTGAGGTGGATGTTGTGCGTTAACGCGGCTTGTTTACGCGCCGACAGATTCTGATCCGTCACGAGAGATTTATCATATCGAAAGACAAACGTTTTCAATGTTTCTTATTGATTTACGACGTTCAGAAGATTTCTAATTCGCTGAATTTTACTTACACGGAAGATTCTTTCTCGAGATTTTGCACGAATATTGTATGAAAGCTTGTTAAAAAATAAAAAAATACGGGCTCGAGGTCGAGAGATGAAATGATTTTTCAAACGCGCCCTCGACAGATGGGCGATTTCTCTTATTATTTTGCGCTCCTAAGGAGAAATCTTGGCCATATCGCGCTCGCTATTCATCCCTGTGTTTATTGAGGAACGATGTCGTAAATCCAAACTACCCCGAGGGTCTCGAAGGTTACTACCGCGCTCGTCGAAAGGCAGTTACGTCGTAAACCTAAAATACGAGAAATCCCGATCTCCTTTACGATATGGTCTTCGAAATCTTTACAATGTACATTTCACTTATGATAATTACCGAATTCAATCACCTCTCTCCGCGGAACATGATACTATTGCACGCTTTTATCATCACCGCATCGCGCACGATAATTTTCTTCATAGAACTCGTCGAACGAAGATGAGGTTGACCGTAGCCGGCGTCTTCCTGCTTCTATATCTTACCTGTGCCCGCTTGCCGCGTGTCACCACAACCTTCGACTCGTACTGCGGTGGTCACCTGGCGGGTCCGCGAGGCGTCATACACACGCCGAATTTCCCCGGGCCCTTTTCGCTGCCGATCAAGTGTCGCTGGGTGATCGACGTATCTGACATTCCTTCGACCAACAGTTCCATCGTTGTCTACCTGACGCAGCTCTACGTCTATAAGGGGTTACGCTTCACCGAATACGCGTACTACGAGTCCGAGACCATGAATTTCGGCGCGGCTTTGGTGAAAGAGGTGACCGAGGGCAACGTCTTCGAGTATCGTCGTCTGAGGACCTTCAGGCCATTCCTGGTGGTCGAATTCGAGCTCGACCGCTTCGAGGGCAATCATGTTCGCGTGTTGAACGATCTCCTCGACGTGTACGGCTTCAACGTGACATACGAGATGACCGAGGAGCATCCGAATCCCGAATCTTGTACTATGCGCGACTGCTCCTTCGCGGGAAACTGTCTCGTCTCCGTGGATTACACGTGAGTCTCCTTAATCCTCTTGTAGGCTGCGTATCGCTATATAATCTTGCGATGTGTCCGCATACGAGTGTCTCCATGGCTGATCTCTGATATCTCTGTTTAAAAAATGTGCAATGGAGTTACATATAAAATATCAATATAACTAAATCGTCTTTTTTACTCATAAATAAATAAATAAATATATATATATATATAAGTAAATAAATAAATAAATAAATATATATATATGTGTGTGTGTGTGTGTGTGTATATATATATATTTATTTATTTATTTATTTATTTACTTATTTACTTATATATATGTATGTGCATATATGTATTTATTTATTTATTTATTTACTTATATACATATATATATATATATATATATATATATATATATATATATATATTAGATCTGTTATTGTGTTTACACTCAGATAAACAAAAATAAAATATTACACGTTTAAGCTTATTGAATGATTAAATATTTATTCAAACATATATAATTTCTCGTAATTTGAATTATAAATTTATTTCGTTTTTAATCACTCGTTTTTAATTATATTTTACGATTAATCGTTTCGAAACGATTAAATATCCATCTGAACGCGTATACGTTTGAAATTGAAATGATAGCCAACGGTAAATTTACGTAGGAAATTTTTCTAACATATCAGATAACAAATCTGATATTTATGAACTAAAAACGTACGATTGAATTCTATTGAATGTTATGTAACTTTATTGCATATATGATGTGCCATATTGAATTATTAATGCCATATTGCAGACAGATATGCCATATTGAATTTTATGCAACGTTATTACATATATTGCTTAATTTTATGTAATTTTATTACATATTGCGTTTTTAAGCAGGGATATGATGGTCTATAATTAGTAGTATAACGGAGAAAAAAATGATGACTTCTTATAAAAGAAACAACAATCAGGAAATAATTGCTTATACTACTGCCAGCTGTGGTTTGTCCTAAATGTTAATATAAGAACGAATATATTGAAAAGGTTAATTTCTATAATTAATTAGAAAATAAGTTTTATCTCTAACTACGAAGCAAATTTTTTAATGTTTCTGAGAGCTTTCGCGAATTGAGACAGTGGGATGTAAACAGCGAGTTTATAAGACTACACTGCCTATTGAACAACCCAAACACAGACACTTTTTTACACATTAATGGGGACAAGGCAAATTTGCATTAAATAGAAATCGATTTAATCCGTTTAGATTTCTGGGAGTTGCAGTTTGTCTTAATTTTCAATATAAGAACGAATATATCGAAAAGATTTATTTCTATAATCAATTAGAAAATAAGTATAAATTATCTATTTCTATCTACGAAGAAAATTTTTTAATGTTCTTTTTGATGAATGATACACAAACGGATAGATACTTTGTGAAATATTTTATTTGACATAATAAACGTAGAAAACTATGCGTAATATTAATTATAATTATATGTAGTAATAATTACTGACGAATTACGTCCATTTATTTACCGTTGAATAATATAAATCTATGCGAGCGTTAAGTCGATACTAGTTTATTCCTCTGCAAGTATAATATTGGTTAAAAGTGAAATGAGTTTGCGATGCATTTTCGTTGGCAAAGTTAAAAAGAAACTCTTTACAAGCTTCAGCAGCTTGCAAAGTTAGCATTAATGGGGAATTAAATCGGTTAATTAAAAAATTCAAGGATCAAGCGTAGCTGTAAAGGTGAATACATTTGAAATGTTAACGAATCGAGCTTACGCTGAGAAAAAGCCGCCGAGCTTAATGATTAAAGTTCTCGCGGTTGTTCTCGCGGTCGTTGCGCAAAAATCGTAGCGAGCAGTTCCGCACCATAAACACCGAACGTAATATCATTTTGTTCGCATTTCTACCCGGGAGCGAGGTTTTATTTAAACGAACGGAGTTGCCAGAAACCCAAACGAATTAAATCGATTTCCATTTAATGCAAATTTGCCTTGTCCCCACTGATGTATAAAGAAGCGTCTGTGTTTGGATTGTCCAATAGACGCGGTATAACCTTGTAAACTCGTTGTTTACCCTCAATTCGCGAAAGCTCTCAGAAACTTATGCTGTAGGCAATAAACATGTTAAGAAATAGAACGCCTACGAAGTTCTATCGCGGGAATACGGGTTTCGCTGTTCATGAATCATTAATGATCTTTTGCTCCCTTCAATTTGTCAGCTAAGCCTGGGATCGGGAAGTATCCATAATCCTTACGGTTCTCTTCTCGCAGATTTTTCTGGTGCGACTGTTTCGACGGTTTTAGCGGGAAAAGCTGCAACGAGGGTCCGTTGTGTTTCAACGATCAACACAAACCTGTTTGCCAAAACGGAGCTATGTGCAGGTACGAGATAACACATATCAGTAGAATGAATAACATCAATTGTTGCAAGGAGTTGTAAAACATACACGTATTATCTGTTTGTACGAAATAGATCTTGAATATTTTTGTATATTTTTGCAATATTAATGCATAGATGATAACTTTTAATTATTTTTTCCACCCAATAAAGTGTATCGTTATTTTTACATTCATTGTACATTGTATTGACGCAATAATTGGAGCAGTACATATTATATATACATATATATATATACATATATATATATATATATATATATATATATATATATATAGTATATATATAGTATATATATAGTATATATATAGTATATATATAATATATAAATTATTGAGTTTGTTCAAATTCTTTCTTACGTAGATCTTAATCAAATTTTAATTTGCCAGATATTCGTCGATGATAAAAGTGACTTACGGAATTAATAGACAGCTGTTCTGTTGGTTTCAGACAAATCGGAGCGGAGGCAATGCACTGCGATTGCTTGGATGGCTACGTCGGTCCTAGCTGCGAAACTCGTCTTCTGGATACTTTGGACACCGGTAACGTTTCATCTCGATTAAACGATTTCGTTTTATTTTAGTAGCGCTCGTTGTGTACCACATTCCTTTACTCTTGCTTATCTTTGTGATACGGCTGACTAAAGTGCGCATTTGTTGATGCACGAAATTCTTTGGAATTGTACGAGGTCACAGACTTAACGACGATTAATTGCGCGTGTTCGCAGAATGCGCTTCGGAGAACTGCATACTGCAGTGTCCCTTCGACGAGCAGCAGCCGTGCACCTGCAAAGACGGCACGAAGATATATAACAGTAAGTCTCGACAGATGTCTCGTACATTTAATAATTCATTGCGACATGCTAGGTAGTAAATTATCTTTTCTTCAGTAAATAAAAAAAAAATATATATTTCCTATATTTGTCATTTTGTTTAATTGAAAATCATCTGTGATCCAACGTTTTAGTTAAGCAAGAATATATTCCTTGATTTCCATCAAAGAATTTGCTAATGAAAGAAAATATGCAGATGTTGTGCAGTGTTGAGATACGCTGCATAATGCATAGATCAAAGTAACAATATTTAAACTGAGCCAATAAGAGTCAATTGTCTACTACATATTAAACTGGATTCCTATTGTGGCCCAGTTAAAATACTGTTATTCTAAATGCGTATTTCAGTCTTGCTTTGTTGTTTAATGAATCATTTTTCTGTTTATAGATCGATCACGATACGAGTGCAGGATCAAGTTGTCGAACGTCACGTCTCTTCGCACAGGTCTGATATCGCAGCAAGGCAGCCTGGAATCGTTCGTCAGCAAACAGGTAAGTGGACGACTTGAAAATCTGCCTGAGGCAATGTATGCGAACGTTGTAATCAGAAAACACGAATTGCGTCTAACAGCAATCGTTTATCAGAATGACGCACAGTTCGTGCAAGGGGAGGACGGGCGTTCGGTAAATACTTGCGATAAGTGCACGGCGCTTCAGCGTAGCTGCATTTTTACACGAGACCAAATATGCAACTGCGTGTTTATGTAACGAATATTAAAGTCTCTACTATTAAAGTAACACGCACCACGCACGTACACGTAAATGCATCTCGAATGTATTTTACCGGGAACAGTGTCGTTAAGATATTTTCCCGCGCAAAATGATGCGATTCAACGTAATCACGCGCGTCATACGTGTAATTGTAGCCAGCATTTGGTTAGCTTCGAGCCGCCGTTGTTGTGCTCGCACACAGCCATACGATCAATTACAATTGTCGTAACGATTCCCATGCGATTACGTCAATATACTGATGAGCGTGCGTTGCTGCTTGGACAGATATGCCGTTGTTTACGAACATTATGCAACCCATAATAATGGATCCTATGAGCAATCGATCGAGTTACTTAAACTCCTTCGATTTAAACATATCGAATATATTATTTATTTTATGACGATAAAAAATATTTTAGGTGCGGCAGAATAAAGTACATATTCTGAATGCATCTTGCATTTTTTATGCATTTTTAATGCATTTTCTAACGCGAACGAATACACGTGACGAAGGTGAACACGTTTCTTTATCTTTCTCGAGACGTTTTCGTTTGATTAATAACATTAAGATAAATCCATCTTACTGAAGTTTCGCAAGAAATTGCGATACTCTAAAAGCCGCATTATTAGTTGTCATTTGAAACTTGTCTCTTGCGAGATACTCAAATTTTTACTCAGATTTACATTCAAATTTTCCAATTGAATAATATAACATATGTGATATTACATCTATAATAGCGGTTCAACTGGAAAATTTTCACCTGACTCTGAACTCAAATCTGAATATCTCACTTTTGAGAAAAGTTTCAAGTAACGACTATTAATATGGGCCTAAGTTTTGCAATGCCATTTGCTTTCAGTGACGTTTGAGTTTCTTCATTCGGGGCGATGTTGGTGGCGGTAGTTTGTATAAAACGCAATTTTCGTCGCTAAATATAGCTGCATGCAAATATAGCTACTTTGTTCCGGTCGCAAATTCCCATACGGTGGCTGTGTCGTAACCGTGATTCTCTCTCTTAACGCTCTCGGGTAGGAAATATCGTCGCAGCAATCTCAATCGGCTCTTTAGATCCGCGGTTAAGCCATGTCTTCCTGGATCCCCCACGTAAATTCGCGCACCTCGTACGTGTGCGTTTTCCAGCCACGTAATTAGGATGTTCGCTATTTCCTCGTCGTACAGCAGATCGCCGACAAAGATCACGTCGTACAGATCTTCCGGTGTTTTTTCCAGTAGGTTCTGCCACGTCACCTCGATGTCCACGTCATTTAGCATGGCGTTCATCGCAATAGCTACGCAGGCGACTGAAAAAAGAAAACCTGAAGAGTATATTTTACTAATCTTTTACTAACGATCATCACGCACACGTAATCTTTAATCGCTGATATTATTAATGTATAGAATTAACTAATAATGTTTAAATAAGAAGACTTTTTGATTCTACTAAACATATACAATTACTTCTGCAACAATTCAATTTCGATATCTTCTAAATATTCCAATGTTTAACAGAATATTGAAAAACTTAAAGTACCTTAAAAATTGAACGAACAGTACCCCGTTGGTGTGATCTAATTGTTTTAAACGCATATTATTTAAAAAAAAATGTTTTCTTGTCTCTCATTTTGCATTCTGATCGAGAAGCATTTTCCTACTCAGGTAACTGACCGTGCTGTGTGCGACATCAGTATGTGCGCGCATATCAGAAACTCTCTAATCCTGACTCATACACACTCTATTAATATCGTAATCGTGAATATTTGTCTCTCACGTTCCTGCATATGTTCCGCTGAATTAGCTCCATTGTTTCGTTGTAATGTTAGACACCGACCGATATATTAGCGATTCGTTCGTCGAAGAAGCCAGTCATTCTTCGTCACAACTTGGCAATTTTCATTGTTAAATGTTAAATGTCTTGCTAAATGAGCTTCAGATTGAAATTTTTCCAAAGACGAAAACCAACTGTCATTCCTTAGTTATTAGCAAGCGAACGTCAGAGATTCTCTTTGACGTGCACATGCAGTTGTTAATCAAGGGAATGGCATTTTATTTTCTATTTTTACTTTTCAAGCATTTATATTTAAAATATTATCGGTATCCTTTTTCTTTACTGAGGAAGAGTTAATGTTTTTCAATTTCAACTCAGTCACAGGCATATGGAGAAAAATAATTTTGCTCTTTTAGTAAAATCGTCGTTGCTACTGCATATTCGTAGTGACATAAAAAAAATTTAGTTGACGTAACTAATTTTACAAATTATTCATTATTAGAGCAGAAATAGTTTCGTTGCCAGGATAGAAACAATTTGTTGAGTATATTTGTCCTAAGAATCACGTTAATTTGCTATTGATTGCAAAATAATGTATCCTTAAATTTATTTGCTATCGGAGCAAAACTGCAACTGCTTAAATCTACCATGGTTCTTATAGCAAAATAATTTGTAGATTTAGAAAATTATATCCAGCAAAAAATTTGATGGACCAGCAAATTATTTTTCTCCGTGCATTCTTTTTCAAACAACATTTAATCGTTTCTGCGATAATTATGCACTACTCCGAAAGTAACAGACTGCAACTTTTAATTCCGCAATTTTTCGTTGCTAAACGGCACTAAATATCCGTTTCAGGCAATTAACAGTACGAATGAAAATGCAGGTCGATAAGATAATATTATTCCATAAGGTCAATTGAGGCCGACGCGATAAACGACTCTCGTATCTGGCGCGTGAACAGCGTGGCGATCGAGTAATCTTCGCCCTCGCTATTGAATGGCAATGTCCGCGAGCGAAGATAATCAAGCGATAGCGTAGTTGGATCTCACATCCGCCACACGTTATATCACTGAGTTTTTGTTGCGCACGGTAAATGACTTCGCTCCGTGAACCTTGGGACGGGCAACGCACGTGTTCTCGCGCTTAAATATAACGTCCTTGACTTATATCGATTCGCGCCGAAAGAAGCGTGCCAGATTAATACGAGATGCTGAGCGCAAGCGAAACGAATGATAATCTTGTTCCGCGAATTTCCGAATTCGTCCGTGATACCAGCACGCCGGAAAGCCCCGAAAGGAACAGCAAAGCTTTTCATCTTGTCGATTTCTCCGTATGTTAACAAACGCGAGGCGGAAAGTTTTGTTAGCGCGAGCATACGTAACATATTTGCGTCTCTGTTTTTCCTGGCCGCGTTCCGGAAAATCACGATATTTATAGTGATCTATGATGAGATTATGCCAGTTTTCAATGTCGGCTTGTTAATCAACAGCAACGCGCGACAAACAGCAGTCCCCACGGAATATATCCGCAATATCGCAAATACATTGCAGAATTGGGAAAATTACTTTTCAGGGGACGCTAAATATCGATGTAACACAATTTTGCAGTTTACACTGTTCTTCAATTTGATTGCATAGTATCTCAAATATCTTTACAAAGTGGAAATAAAAATGCATTGAGAAACATTAGATATTGTATCCGAAACAAAAGAGGCTTTTGTAAAAAAAATGCCTTGTTTTTTATATAATATTTGATGCCTCTTCATGCATTGAAATTTATGCTTTCACTCTGCAAAAACATTTGTAATTCCATGCGATTAAGTTGAAAAACAGTGCAAGCTACGAAACTCTCTGCACTATATATAGGTATCCAGCAAAATATGTTTTATTTATAGAATATTTTTCTATGTTTGATATAATATTTGATGTTTTCCCGACATGCTATATTGACATTTGTCACACATATTGACATTTTACCTTGTAAAAGTATTTGCGATCCCACGCAACCAAATTGAGAAATAATGCGAACTACTAAACTGCAAAACATATGAAACATTATATAAAATTATAATTTATCATCATTACTAATTGCTGATTTCGCTGAGCGTATAGAAAATATCGATCTCCGGTTATTACACGAGAGGAATGTAATACCGAGAATCGAGGACCTTTCACTGACGCACGAGGGACAACCCTTCCTTCCAGCATCTGCGTAAAACGGGAAAACCCGTCCTAAGTGTACTACCTCTTAATTGCCTCTTGACCTGTTTAAACCAGAATAAAATTACGAGGGCAGGTGTAATACGTAACTTGCCAAGACTACGTCCTATAATGATCTCTTTGGAGATTTATTCGCTGCGGGGGCTCATTTTTTAAATAGTTTTTCGTTAAAAATCGCCGAACCGGCGATAAATGCGGGATAATTGCAGGATTACGTAAAGGTCGTTCTATAGTGGCTGCGTTCAGCAGAGGAAGCTGCTTTGCAACTGTTGTAAAATTCGTGAATCTGATTGGAGTATGCTCTTAATTTTGGTTGAATCCAAGAGCATGTACCAATCAGATTCACGAATTTTATAACAGTTACAAAGCAGCTTTCTCTGCTGAACGCAGCCACTAGTTGCAAGCCGATCGCAAGCAGACACAATTCTTATTGCGACAGCCAATCAGAAGCATCAATGGTGCTATTGACTGCTATGAATGGTGCTTCTGATTGGCTATCGCAACAAGAGTTGCAATCGACTTACTAATGTAGTAATATAGAACGACTTTAATGTTCGCAGGTTTTTCAGAAATTCATATTGCCGCGCGCCTTATTCGCTCTACTTTATGTTTTCTACATTGCTCGTAATTGGCAATCTTTTGTGGATTTTATATAGACCTTTATTTCTGTAAATTCACTTCGTTGTTTGTTTTACCGCGAATCCGCAACTTTCTATTGTCATGCGCTTCGTTCGCTGCACTTTGATGCGCCTTCATGTTTCCTACATTGCATATAATTGATAATCGCTTGTGAATATGGCATAGATCTTTATTTTTATAAATTCACCAACTGTTATTTGTTTATGTATCCGCAACTTTTCACTGTCACACGTTTTGTCGGTTGTGTTTTGGTGCATTTCTACATTACTTATATTGATTATAATTTTTGCAATGTTTGTGAATTTTGCACAGACCTTTATTTGCAATTTTTTTCGTGAATTCGTCGATTTTCAACATGCATAATCGCGGCATAAATTCAGATATTCCTAACTCCGCGAGACTCGAACATTAGATTCGTGTCCGCGCAGCGATATTTTTCGCCGATTATCGCCCAGGACGCGTGAACAGTCTCAAATTGTCATCTGATTAAACATTATTCCATTTGTTCTATCGCAAGAACGGACTGTCGCGTTTGTACGATAGGAAAGGCGATAACGAAATCGCCACACGTGCGATTCGATAACGCGCTATCGACGATTGTTCCGATATGCACGACTCGCCGCTGCGTTTCGCCGCGGATTCGCGGTTTTTCAACGCGCAATAAATAGTTGCAAAGTTGCAAAGTCGAACACTCGAACACTATTGACGTGTGTCAATAACTCACGGTGACGAAAGCACGTCGCGGTCAGCCAGACACGCGCTTGTCACGAGTGCGAGAAGACGTCGAAGAGAGACGCAGTCCTCGCGCGACGCAATCGGTTCATTGATAGAAACCTTCTCCTCGTGGCAACATCAATTCCACGTATAGTACGCAATTAGTGCGATATGGCTAGCCACTGATAGTTATTATCGGTGCGTTCTCTGTCCCGTTATGGAGCGCAACAAACAGCCAGCACGATTACCATGCGAACGAAATGCGCGAATGGAATCGGCCAGCCGCATTTGGAATTCTTTTCTGAATCACGCTCATCGGAATCCGGTCTTATCTGACGTCTGGACTCGCGCCTATCACCGGCACCGCTGTGTTAATTCGACGTACACCTGTCCGTGTCGTGTCACGCACGTTCACACGTACACACGCACACAAGTGAGCGTACGCGTGTACGTATGGGTGTGTAAGCCACATGTGACGTCAATACTGGCAGCTTGGTATTTCCTCGGGCCACCGACCCATCCAGGTAACTCGGGACTGGACTCCGAGGGAATACCTGGCATCGAAGGCTTTCTAGTTAATAGGAAAAGGGACGAAAGCAAAAAGTGAAACTACACTTATTCATTGCAATGTAGGTATTTCTATTGTGAACAATCGTTCAGCATGTTTGATGGTTTTATGATAGGAATAACTTTTTAATAAAACTTTAGGTCGAAACCTTTTATATAATTATTATAGTAGGAAAAATATTTTCTCCTAGAGAAGAAACAGAACTCCTGCTCATAAAACAAAATAAAGATTTGTTTTGAGCTATCACGAACATAAAAGAGCAAAAGACTGCATTCAGCAAGAAAATCTATTGCTTTGTAATGTTGTAAATTTGTGAGCAAATTGTTGCAAAACAGCTGTGAATGCTTTTCATCTTGACTGAATTTAAAGTCCGTGGTAACAGTCGTTATTTGAAAGTTGCTTCAAGTGAGATATTCATATTTAAGTTTAAAGTTAGATGTGAATTTTTCAATGGAATTGCGCAATTGCGAATATAATGTCATATCATATGTTTCAACTGAAAAACTCAGATCTATCTTTAAATTCAGATTTGAGTGTTTCGTCGAGATAAGTCTCAAGTAACGAGTCTCAGCTCTATTAACACAGACTTATTTCAGCATATAGCAATCAAATTCACACATTTTACAACAGTTGCAAGACAGCTTTCTTTTGCTGAACGTTATTGTTCTGTGGTCATCTTTTCAAATAAAGTTTCAAATAAATCTTCTTTTCAAATAAAGTTTTCAAATAAATCTTCTTTTCAAATAAAGTTACATAGGCTTAAATTTTGTAAAATTCCAAAGCAGTGACAGTAATTTCATTTTTTCTTTTTCTTGTCTATTGTGTTTATTGAATATCTACTTTCATTAGTTTGGGACCTTCAAAGATTGTCATGTCAAAAACTGCCATGTGAAATCGATTTGTCACAGAGCTCGGGAAATGTGTGTTGTTCTTTTCTAAAACGTATAGCAAGTACAGAATGCTTCTTGAAATTCTAGCTACGCTACTGACTCATCTTTTCTTTCTCTCTTAGTCGTGTAGCTCGATTGCCAGCCATACATTCGAGTAATTCCCCGCGTTCCCATACTCATCTTCTTCCTTTCTGTTTGGACAAACTCTACACAAAGCAAAAATTCTCTCTCTCTCTCTCTCTCTCTCTCTCTCTCTCTCTCTCTCTCTCTCTCTCTCTCTCTCTCTCTCTCTCTCTCTCTCTCTCTCTCTCTCTCTCTCTCTCTCTCTCTCTCTCTCTCTCTCTCTCTCTCTCTCTCTCTCTCTCTCTCTCTCTCTCTCTCTCTCTCTCTCTCTCTCTCTCTCTCTCTCGGTTTCTTTCTCTTTCCTTCGTTCTCGCATATTTTTCATCAGTTCGAGGAAATTGCAAAACAAGCGCAATACCGTTGCATATATGTCTGTGATATCAACGCGCATTTATCCCCGGAGATTTACGAGCCGTCGTGAGTCGTTTTTCGGCGCAGTTCCGCGCGATAGACTGCCGAATCGATCGAATCGATGGCGTGGACGTCGCGACATGTATTTCCTAGTAACGAATATGATACTTGTTGCAAACGTTGTTAGATGCGATAACTGTTTATTGACTAGATAACATCAAGTCATCGAGAAACAGTCGCTATCGGTTACATCACTCGAAAATATTGCGATGTCACAGTTGCCGCGATGTCGCGACGATTGCAACACGCTGATTGCCCACATCAAATATCAATAAAGCAAACGTTCGTCGCGCATTTTTTTTATGACATTATTTTTCGCGGCATTTTTCACGCTCACCCATGGGACTCTCTTTATTACGTGTAACCTGGGTAACCGCGTTATCAGTTACGTTATCACGCAAGGACACCGCGATTGTGGTGGCGTGGTGTATAATATGTCGTATTTATATGTACGGGGACTCCCGGGCTCGTAGTATTTTATTTTATACGCATCCTCTGCGGAGCGAATTTTCCCCGAACGAAAGTAAAGCGCGATAATAATTATTATCGGGCCACGACAGATAAGAAAAGCTCTGGAAATCCTATTAATAAAAATGGGCAGCCGCGCTTGAGAATTTTTTCCTCGACGAGAAAAACCATTTCCGCAATTTTCCGCGACCCGTCGCGTGCGTGTTAATAATGCGCTTTCCACCGAACATTATAATTCGTTTCAAACGAACTCGTTCCGATTCGAATCGAGCGGATCCGCCACGACTGACCGTTCCCACTTAAATTAATGATCACACCAGATATACTGACCTTCACTGATATCATTCGCGACCACTTGCCACGGCCCGATCGATTTCGCGGCTATCGCCGTGGCGCCGCATCCCGCACCCAGATCCAGTATCCTTAGAGGACCCTTTTTCGCACCCGGCAACTTACGTCCGAAAATTCGCTCCCTCTCGTCGAGGATGAATCTCGTGAGCGCCTGTCCGCCGGGCCAGTATATGGACCAGAATGGATCGTGAAATACGGTTCTCGTCAAAGAGTCGAGTCTCCTATCGCCATCCTTGTCAATGAAGGGCTCACGATACAGAGGACAATTCTCCGTGAGCAGCAGTAACTTCAGCTCCGGAGTCATGTGGTCTCGAGTGACCTCGGTGTTTTCCAAGATCGTCCTCACCACGTCCTGTCGCTTCTCCGTGAATCCTTTAAGCGATACCCCACGGCTGTTCCGTAGAACATGATCCCAGATCTCTTTTATGTCCCGCGAGAATGTTCTCGTGACGAGACGTTCCTTCAAACACATAACACTCCTCGCAATCATCACTGACGGCTTGGAAACAAAAGCTAAATATGGCTCGTCTATTTAACACACGGCGCTTTCGAGAAGTCCTAAAATAAATATAATTCACGGAATTAAATTAATTGTTTGTTTGACAAGTGCCTGTCGTAAAACAAAAGCTATAATCTCACACTGACTACTTCCGTTTTTTGATAAAAAGTCATGATAAGTGATTATCTTCTGAGAAGAGTATCAATCCCGGTACGTGGACTATAATGATAAATTCTTGTCTTGCTTTACGTAAGATAAGATCGCCGATTGATCAAATCGCGCGTCCGATTTGAGAAAAAAAATATTTTGCTTGATGTTGATGCCAAAGGCATCCTCGAGTCTAATTAGTCGCGAACATTTGACAAGTGCAGCGAAATTTAAAACAAAATTTACCACATTAATGTTGAATGTAAAATTAACTTGCTATCAACATTCTACTACCGACAGAGTCGGTTCTACGCTTGTGGTGTCGACATTGCAGTTTTTCCTTCAAGAAAATTTACATTTGCGCAGATAGCGTTCGCAACTTACGGCAGTCATACGGGAAAACGAATATGCACGTCAAAGTATGCACGTCAAAGTATGCACGTCAAAGTATGCACGTAATCGTGATTATAAAAATGATGTGATATTAATATTATATGCCGATCTGGGATAATGACAGATGAAGTCTCGAGGAGTCACACTGAGAGAGAAACTAAATTATTACATAGAAAAAGATTAATATTCACTCAAAATTGATATACATAAATTAACAATTATTGTTTGGTGTATAAGCAATGATATACAATTTTGTTCAAAGAATTATTAAAAAAAAAAGAAAGTTTCAAATTTCAGCAGTTATAATTTTATTTGAATATTTAATAGTTTCAGAAGAAGTACAATATGATTTGGTGATAATATCTTCTTCCGACAATTAAAAAAACCATATTTTCAACTCAATATTTTGTACTTTCCATGCAATTTTTGTAACTCGTCAAATATTTTTTTGCTGAATATGCGAACACACGAAAATTGAAGAGCAAAGCCGCATGACCTGAAAAAAAAAAGAAAAAAAATAGAACTGTGTAGCTCGTTCTATTTCCTTAAATTTCGATTTGACGTTTTTCTTCGAAGTTCAGACTTAGCGTTTTGTGATGCTTTCTTTAAAAAAAAAAATATATATATAGGAGTACTCCGTACTTGGGAGTATTTTTAGTCGCATTTATGACTCTTACGGGGAATTAACCTTATGAAAAAACCTCGAAGACTACGATGTTGTCTCTACTTCAGATTGGGATTCCCAATCGTTCCGGTTGCAAAGTATTCCCCGGTACTCGCTGAAACACTGACGCGAACGATTGCAAGGTTCTTGACCGAGAAGCGTTCCATCGATCAACGTTTCCTCGTAAGAAGTAGGTCAAATGTTATAGCGAGTCCGTTTCGCGAAGTGTGAATCCTGAGCTTGCGGAAAGTAGTTTCAGACAGACCGTGGTTGAATAACTTTTTCCCTTCTCCTTCGTTCTTAGTAGTCTGAATTTTCTGTTTAAGAAAGAAACGATTTTTTTCTGCGCAGAACAAAGACTCATAGTGTATTAGTTGGTCGAGAACTCTCATTCGTTTATTGTTAAAACTTTAATACCCATTTCCTTTCTCTCTTTCTTTCTTCCTCCCCAACGTTTTGTTACAAATTAATTGCAAATACCTCGCTGCCTTCCAGCGCTGCTGATGCAATTTTCCGCGGCGTAATTCCATTATATCACATGAAACGCGTCTATTGCGTCCATCGCGTATTCTTCCGAGCGACAATATTAACAGACCTGGACCGGTTATATTCATTAATGTAAAGCGCGTGTATAGCCGTTGTAAAACAAATATTATTACGCAGGCGAGCCTTCGGCTTTTGTGACCTTTATACGACTGAAGCGCGAACGGGCAGGTGGAATTCACGTAATCGTCGTCATAACGGTCGCTCACTTAATTAGTATCCTTCCGAATTGATCATTACTATGTATGACTGTCCAACGCTTAATTATCATAACTTATAATATCAACATCTCATTACAATACTATTTTTCACGTCTCTCTCTTTCATGACTTACATTAATATTCCCGACATTGTTACGCAGTGTCGATATTTGTGTGGTATTCGGGAATCAAGTTTAGACTAGACGAGAAAGCTTGAAGAATTATTTTGTATCGCGAATAACAATTTTTCATCACGCGCGCTTACATTCTACGATATTAAGTCATTATTTCGTTTATTTTACAATTATTTACCCTTTTATCCATATGCCGTTTTGCTTCCGAAGATCTATTGTTTCATTAGCGTAATATCCAGTTATTATTCTTGATTACGTTACGTTTATTTGTTGAATGTATAGAGCAAAAATTAGGTCGCGCTTTATATTAAATTAATATCGCTGCGCGTAGTTATTTCGCTCTCGCCGTCCGTGAAAACCGAGGAAGCCTCGAACAACTGTGGCACACACACGGCAATATTAATACTTCCCCAGGTGGATATTGTTAATCCTCTCGTTTTCCATTATCGCGGAAATTGTGCGATTGCGCGACTGATGAAACGCGTTGGGACAAAGGCTTGCATCATCTCCAAGTCGGACGTATATGGTAGAGAAAGAGAGAGAGAAAAATATACATATATATATAGGATTAATATAACACAGACACACCTGTAATCTCGATCGAGAGTGGGTACGCGAAGAGTGATTGCGGGTCGTCTGTCAAAACGAAATTTATTGAACGTGTTAGCCGCGACAGTGGGCGGTCGACGTGGCTTTTCTCCTGGTCAGGTGCTTGCGGATGATGAAATTCTCAGCATAAGACGCGTAAACGGTGCAACATGCGTTAAGAAAAGAGTTTCACAAATCTCCACGCTCTCTCTCTCTCTCTCTCTCTCTCTCTCTCTCTCTCTCTCTCCCCCCTCTTTCTCTCTTCAAGTGCATAAAGTTCAATTCAAGTGACCTGGATTTTTGGAGCTGCTGCCTCTCCATTTGGTAATCTTTAATTTCTTTGATAACGATTGAATTAACGATGAAAACTAGAAGCTACTCAGCAATTGCGCTTCTCCACAGCATTCTAACTTTCTATCTTGGCAAGGAAAATTTCAAGTCTTCGTTTATCTAATCTATCTTCGTATCGAATTATTTGCCGAGTATACATTGCCAACTGCGCGTTTCCTGATACTGCATTTCTTCTCATGCGCAAGATTCAAGATACACTCGATGAAAAGTTTGAAGACAAAGCCTCGTAGGAGCGTGTTACTAAAGACGTATTGTGCTTTCAGATTTTAATCGCGCTCAGCACGGTGAACCTCTCGGTAGTCAGTGAACTTGTAAAAAGAGAGCAGTGTCATCGTGACACCATTCGTGCACATACGACATACTTGTCCGCAGATCGAAGAGGATGGATATATGAACGACGAGATCGTCAGATAACTCATTTGAATTCATATAACGTTGACGTGTCGTCCCGAGCCGAACACCGCTTCTCGTCCTCGCCGATGGGAATTTGTTTGCGCTGCTACTAAGTAATTATGTTTCCTGACCCGACTCGGTTGGCTTCCGTTCTCGGTAGATTCCGTTGAAATCCTCCCGTCCGCTAAAAGTTCCGCGCGGTACGGACTTGAGCGATTAAGGTTGATTAGATCGTAACTTCCCTTTTCATTTACTGACGCTTTAAAGAGATCGCGGTGTCCGTGAATATTTATTACTCGCCACAATCAACCACGTTTCTTTTCACGTTGCTTTCACCGTGGAAATCAGAAATTGAAATCCGTGAAACGGGAAATGGCACTCCGCGCCGCTTTAAAAGAGCGACGCTCTTGATTGAAATTTTCAACTAAATCGAGAATCTTTCTGTTTTCAGTTTAATTTTTTGTCGCGCGACAACGAAGGTAATTATTTCCAATGTGGCTCTCTTGCATACAGATGACATGATGATTCCGGTGTACGTTGTATGAAATTTGCATTTTAAAAAGTATCTTTTTCATGCGAACGATCCTACATGTGAAAAAAGGTGACATTGAACGTCCACTAGCGTTACATGTTGTTCTCAGAATTTATGAATTCGATATATTGTGACATATATTACGGCAATCAGTATCGAGAATTCTCACGTAATTGTCGCGATGAATGTGGAAAAGCGGCGCAAGATGTAGAGACCGGGAGACGTAAAGCGCGCGTGCTTTGATTCATTGAAAGTCTGGCATGCCTCATTTCCAGGTAGCGTATCATATCATATCGTATCGTATCATATAATTAATATACTCGACGTATTCGCGAAAAACTAAGCAACCTGTGCGACAATTTCCCTTTTACCTTGAACTTATACTCAGCTGGTGTTTCGACGAATCGCTCGAAAGCCGCGGCACGCGAATACAACGCAAAAACCGAAGTCCTACTCGAGAAACCCGGGTTTATCGATCGGTCTGCGCTGTGTGCAGCGCGTTGCTCACAAAGTGGAGTTTTAGAATGAATCAGACGACGCGATACACTTATTTCCGCGTCATCCGCAAAACATTCGTTGCTTCACATCTCTCGAAATTCCGCGCTAAATCTTATCACTCGCTTGACCTCCGCACTATCGATCGTCGATTTTCGTCAAATTCGGCGTAGCTCGCACGCTGCCACGTCATTTCCACGGTACAATTTCGCTAATATATTATTCGCTCCGCTAATCCCGCGTCAACATTGATTGCATTACTTTTACACTCGAGCTGTTTACTCCTATCCCCGTTTCTGTCTCTCCGATAAATAATAAACGTGCTGACGCACCTACTTTGATTGGTTTTCAATTAAGAAATGTTTGTAATTTATGCAACGCACTTATAGGAGAATTCATCCCAAGTAATGAATCTTTTATCTCTATTTCGGTTCTCTTCTGTTTATTATTATTAATATTATTATTATTGTTATTATTATTATTAATATTATTTATATTTAAATTTATATTTATAATCATTATTTCTGTATGCGTACTCTGAGAGAAAAAACATATAAATATTAAATAATATTTGCTCGATGGGTGCCAATACATATTTAACATATGATAATAATAACATGTGATATAATAATAAAACATGTTTTAAATGAACTCAAAAAAAAAAAAGAGATACGGTGATGACAATTATACGAGTTGCGATATTTTATGCAAAATTAATATATATGGTTATACAATTTTAATACAGTTGTTATTTTAATTGAAGCTTGAGTTGCGATAACTACCAAATAGTTACCAAATAGTTTACTCTAAACACTCAATTCTTATATGCAAAATTGTTATAGTTTTATGTTTTGTATAGTTGCTATTACTATGTTTTCTTTCTCTAAGTGTACGAAAATCTACATTTTCTTGATACTTTAGCTGCTCAAGCAATTGTTTATTCTATTTGAGTAAAAGAATTTAGATTTAAACAAATATGTTATTGATAGCCAACGAATAAATATCTTCTTTTGTTTATGTTTCTTCTCTCAATGTAATATTATTTATATCATGTACTGAGAGAGAAGGGAAACACGACAAAGTGATCGCGATTTCCTTTTTCTGTAACTTCTCTCTGTGATCAATTATTTATTTCCATTTTTCCGCGAGTTGTTTATTTTTCGTTTTTCCTTTACACATTCTTCGAAAACTTATGTTCTAGGAATCTCGAAAAAGATCGCGCCTCCGTTCTGTCTCGTCTCTTCTCCGGGAAATTCAGCGCACGGGGACCGTTGATCGAATTCGGACGGTTTCCGTGGATTCGATTTTCCCCGGGTTTCCCGGTAAAACTTGCGGCGGGCGTATACCGATAAAGAGCTCCGTTATGTATGTACGCCAGCGACACAACGACGACGACGACGACGACGGTGACGGCGACGGCGACGGCGGCGGTTTATCCGCGAAGGTGATGAGCTGGTGGGGCGGGATCGATATAAAAGTCGCGCGCCGCGCGCCTCGAGGTCAAACGTAAGCAGAAGCTCGTGAGAGAAGAGTCCGCGATCAGTTAGTTACTTCGCTTTCGCGACAACTTTCCACGAGCGTTGCATCAGTTTGCGTCAGAGCGAAGTCAAGTGAAAGCGTCTCCGAGACACAGCGAGAAAGAGAGAAAGAGGAAGAGAAGAGCAAGACACTCGGTGCTTCGTGATCCAGTGGATTAATCCCGAAGACCGTCCAGCAAAAACACGGAAAATTCGTCCCTCAGGCGTTACCGAGGCCACGAAAATTCCGACATTCAGTGAAGTGTGCAAAAGAGGCGCATTAAGGATTAAAAAACCGCCGAACGAGCGACCGGAGATACTGACCGATATGACTTGCTGCCAGGAACCACGATCCTATCACGCGCAGGCCGCGATGACCGACAGGTAGCTATCGCGACACACAAAACGCTCGAACGTTTCACCGCTTCCACGTGGCCATCGCGCGGCACTTTCGTACATGGCGGAGCGTGTGCGAGCGCCAAATTTTTAAATGCTGCGGCGCGACGGTCACGTTCCTCTCGACGGCGATAAAAAGATGCTTGTTCACGGCTCGGGATAGTTTTGATTGATCTCTTGTGCAATTTCTCGCGTGTCGCGCGCTCGCGAGATCACTTTCGCGATTTGTGGCTTCGTGACTTTACAAAAACCGCTTATCGAGAATAATCTGCAAGACTTGTAAAGAATCATATATATATATATATATATATATATATATATATATATATATATATATATATATATATATATATATATATATATATATATATTTATGTATATACATTTCAAGTTTCTTCGCAAAAATCAGATATAAATTCTAACACTTGGAGGTCGGTTCTTTGAAAGAAAAAAATTGTTTGCGTCTTCGACGCGAGTCAGGGAAAATTCTTATCATTGTTTAATTAAAAGACGATTATATCGTGCGCGAAATCTGTCGAGTCCTCGACGTTGCGAAAGCTATTATCCGATACGGCCGATAACAGTTGCAAAACGATCATCCGGGATTTTCCGCGTATTCTGCAAAGAACCTCTTCTCATGAAGAAGGGAACTAACAAGTCGTGGAGTTTCACGCGAAATCGCCATTCGTCCCGGGTAATCCCGCACGCGAGTCGTTTCCCGAGCATCGCTTTACGCCGCAATCGAGCGGACTTACATAACGGCACGTTGCGACGCGGATGATTGATCGAGAATGGCTTACAGCGGAAAATCGTCGTCGTGGTGCGAGCAGAAGGGCATCGGCTGCCGCCAGGGCAGTACCATCACATGCGGCATGTTGCCGACCTTGCGGATATTGGCCTCCCGAGGATGCAACAACCAAAACATCGTCTGTCTCGTGCCGTTCGACGTCGAAATGGACTCAGCCAGTCACCTGCACATGATTCTGCTCGAAGCTTATTGTCGTGAGATTGGGATCAAGGTGCTGAGGGTGTCCCGGGAGAAAATAGGCGTCTACCTGTGTCCAGGTAGCACAGACACCTCGTGCGTTCTAATTACAAACGACGATCCATTTTTCTTGGAGTCGCCGGAGTGAAGTTTGAAGACCGGCCCTTAAAGAAAATGGAAACTACACGAAACCGCCGTGCGCGGTCCTTTATGCAATCGTCTAAGGCATCGTTTGCTGAGGAGGACGGTTGTCGCCAAGGAGATCCTCCATTGACCAAGGACGAAGGGGAGTTTATCAGTCCGGCACGCGACGCGTACGTGTGTGTGCGCGCGCGCCTCGTCAGCAAGAGTGCTGATAATCGGACATTTTTGTCTTGAAATCGCGAGAAACGACAGATCTCTCGCGATTTGTCGTTAGACCAGGAACGTGTCACGCGAGTGATCTCCCTTAGGGGAGAGCATCCGGTGATAGCTGGATAAGAAAGTGTTAATTAATGTATGTAACGCGTGTACAGTAACACTCGATTGTTTGCGATTTGTCGTGAAGCGAGTTAATCTTCACTGTGTGTACTTTTTGTAAACCTCGACGGCGCCAAAGCGCGCCTCTCGAAGAGAGTTATGTATTTATGCAACACACATTACCTGATAATAAGATTGTATATCAGATTAATAGACAAAAGGGATCTCTTTTATTTTCCTTGCTCCACCTCCTTATCGTATCTTATATTGTAACTTATAAGCGTAACTTTCTATCTCGCGACCGATAATCTCGTGCCCGTTTAATTCATTGAAACTTATTCTTATAGCTTGCTAAGTACTTAAGGAACTCCAATATCACTTCCATGGAGGAGTTAAAAATCCTGAGCGTGACGTGAGTAGGTACACATTCAAGGATAAAACGTACACAGTTATACGCGGATCTCTCGTTTCGGGCGATTTTTATAGAAAATATTTTAGGAACGATCGCTTCTGTCAAATAAATTCCAATGTCTCTCAGTTCTACCTGATAAGAGGTCTTGCTGTAAATGTGTTAGTGTGTTTTTGCGCGAGGCGAATCGCTGGATCGCACTTTCATCATGATTGTTCCTCCGACAGACCCACAGCCGAAGTTACCTTTCATTTTTTCGGGAATTCCGATGACGGGGATAAAATCCGGGAGTCGCTCAATCGACTCGTGCAGCGCCGACGTCTCAGCGAAATCGCGTTGGAGTCCACGCACTTCACATTCCAGCAGAAACCTGCGCTCAAATTGCAGGTAATGTCTGGAATTTTTACAGGACATTGTAACACCGGAATGTCGACCGTAAAATACTTCGATAATGCAAATATTTTCGATAATCAATTAGATCTTCACAATCAAATTTCGGAGAGATAGCAAAGTCTATTTGAATCTAAGTCAACAAGTTCAACTCAGTGTACTCATTAAGATTAAAATCAAGAGCGCAACTTGACTGTTGTATTGAGTTTGAGCACTTTTTAGAGTCTGCGGATTAATCAGGTGAACGATTATGATGTTCACCTGGGAGATCAGATCGTCTTGTCATGCGCTGCTCAAGGGAGCTACGGCATAAACTTCACCTGGTACAAAGACAGCATGTTGGTGAACACAAGCAAAGCCACCAGGTATATGTTTCATTCAATTTTAATCCAATTCTTTCCAATAACAATCGTGAAATAACGATATAAAATAATATCAAACGTTAGAACACTACGATGTTTCCTCATTCTTTGAAAAACAAAGAAAATGCTCTTGACTCATGTGTTCCATTCGCTTTGCCGTTTTAGAGAAATTTGGATCAGCAATTTGCCGAACGACGGCTCGGATGTGTACACGTCGGTGTTGACCATCGAGAAGGCAACCCTGCTCGACGGCGGTCAATACACGTGTCAAGTGGTGGATTGGGGTGTGCAGCAGTGCAAGAGCATCTACATCGAGATCAGGAATGAGCCAGACGTGAAGGTGGTACCGATGAGCGCCATCGTAGAGAAAGTAAGCCGCGATTATTAAGCCCATTGCAGACATGCGAGGTCGAAATCGCGAGAGAGAGACGTATACCAATATCGTCAGACTGTTGTTTGCAGGGCAGCAATATTCAACTGACATGCACGACGCCCAACATGCGGAATATTGGAATCGGCTTCGGTTGGACGAAGAATCGTGCTCTGCTCAAGTTAGAGCCCGGCCATGCAATTTGGGAGGATCTGTACCCAGCGGGTAGTATCCTGAAAATCACTAACGCTCAGGTAGAAGCGTATTGTCTTCACGTCGTAAATATTTCTTCCGCTGTATTTCATTTCTCTTTGCCTTTCTTCCGTCTCTTCAGGATCCTTTCTGGATCGTCCTCTCAGGATCGTAACTAATTCGCTGCTGATCGAATTCAACTTGTTCGATTGTTTCAATGGCACGTTTGGTATTCTAGAAATCCGCGATCTACACCTGCAACGTAGCGCACAAGTTCATGTCCGTACGAGTCGAAGTCATGAATCGAACACTGATACCGATCTGCCTCGACGGGAAGTCTTGGGGTCTGCAATGGCCAGACACCGCTCCGGGATCGGAGGCGTTGCTGGAGTGCCCTCGATACTTCGTGGGTCGACGAGTCTCCAGACTTTGCTCTATGAAGGACGCCACTACGCCCGAATGGCAGATACCGGACTTTTCGTCTTGTTTGTACAAGGCATTAGTCTCTCCTTACAATAACGTGAGCACTTTGTTTTCATCAGCATTTTACATTCGGTTTGTGATGACTCACGATGACTTTAGAGTACAACGCATCGAGGCAGCCTTGACCGATAGCACGGAATATCTCTTTAGTAAATTGCTATACGTCGAACGTCAAGCGAGTCAACATGGATAAATTAAAGTAATATTTTTCGATGCGTCACTAGTTACGTTTCAATATTTATGACAACGCGTAACAAAAGTATCTCAAAGAGAGATTTATGATGACTTTATATAAACAAAGTTGAAATATGAGAATATAGAAATGTACTTTTTAATCAAAAATATTAATATTTTAATTCGCAAACATTGACTGGCCTAGTTTGCTAAAATTTACTAGATATACTCCGAGATTTTTATCAATATGATGTATCTAATGTTTAACTTGATCTACTTCGCAGTTTCAAAGTCTAACATTGGGTTACCAAAATACTACGAGTTCGGAGACGATCCTCGCTTTCAAGGAGATTCTGCGCGATCGCGGATTGCCGCTCTATCCCGGCGAAGGCGATCGAATAATGGGCATGTTGGCGGAAATCGAGCGATATCAGCACAATATCGACCCGCTCGATGCATATGTTTCCGCAGAAGCTCTGACTCACATAATAAATCGTGTATTGAGCGACGAGTACTCAATCTTAAGTCAAGAGGTAAAGATGACGTGGAACTTCGGAAAGAGAGTTGTAGCTCTGAGAACACGAAGCAATTTTGAATGAAACAATGGGGATGTGACAGTTATTTATTCAAAATTTACACACATTAAAAAAAATTTTTATTATTCAAAATTGTGTCGTGGGTTTAAGATTATTCTCCTTTTTGCAACTTATCTTGACTCGGTTGGACTTCTACTACAAGTTAATAAACTTGGATTTTTAGAAGTTGTCGTTGCTGCTTCATCTTACGCAACGAAATTTAATCCACTGGTCTAAGCAACTGAAACATGTGTGCAAACATTTGGCTCTGTCATCCATGGTCGTAGATATTCAGCAATTGCAGTCTCACAACGGGGACAGTATCACGCATTCTCTTCAGATGCCTTCGACCGAGCATGTGTAATTATTCTCTGCCTCTTTATCAATTTCATTCTAGGATATGCGTTTTTTCTATCCATATTATACATCTACATTCTAAAATTGTTTTTATGACATAAACTATCGTTTATTCATGACAGATATCCTGATTGGTACGAGGATAAAGTGGCTGTACGATTGTGGAAGAAGAGACAGCGCAATGTAAAGTCTAACAGCACGTTTACCGGTATTATTATCGTCTACAAAAACATGTCGCGTTTTATACCAACGGCGTACGTTACGGAGCTCGAGTGAGTTTACTCAATTAGTCACTGTTTTATGAAAAATCGACGAGTTCGCTTCAAAAGTGACCTAACAATATTTTAAAGACTTCATGAAACGATCAATTACAATTAGTTGAATCAATAGCAATAAATATGAGTTAAAATCGAATGAAATTTTAGCGATGGCACGGATCTCGAGTTTCGCCTCAATTCTCGAGTGATTAGCGTTGCAGTACCTTCCTTCGGAGTCGATAAATACAGTAAGATATGGGTCGACCTACAAATCAGGCATTTGCAAAACCAAACGAGTTCTTGGAACACGTCGTGCGGCTTGATGGACAACACTGGGTCATGGGACCTCAACAGTTGCATAGCGAACACGGCGTTCGGCGACCTCACGACGCATTGTCTGTGCCCTACCGCGGGCACCGTCGCTGTTTTCTTGACAACTCGCGCGGTAAAAGTAAATATAGCTCCAATTTAAGAAATGCGATATCCTCTTATTGTTACTCATATTTTCCAACTGACGATAATGTTGAGAGAAAGCTCTGTGTTAAAAAGATTTCGTTACAAGTGTTAAGATATTGCGATACTTAACGTAGATTTATAACAAACCTTTTCAACGTTATAGGTCGTACTGGCAAAATCAGAACAGACCACGTTCATTATAATATTCGGATGCAGCAGCTGTTTAGTTCAGTGTTTGTTGTCTGTCTTAATATTGGGTGCCTTTTGGTGGAAACACAAGAGCTGGCTGAATTTCTTAAAGCTCCAATGCTGCGGCGCAATAATCGGCGCGATGGCCATCTTCATTTACGCCGTTCACAGTAATTTGCCGGAGGTAATCATACCGCTATTTCTGCTCAATGGATTCTATTTTGTATTTCACGTGCCTCGGTTTGCTTTGAGAACATCTTCCTGCGATGTCTCCGAATTATTAACTCTTCGCTATCCGTTTCAGTCATCGTACTCGCTCGTGGCGATCGGATTAGAAGCGTTTCTTCTCGTGGGCATGTCCGCGCCCATCTCCGAGGCTCTGATAGTGTACGCCGAGCTCACACAACTCCGACAGAGTCAACACCTTCAGCCGACAGTTATCGCTGTGATAACCGGTGAGAGTTGCATTTGTTAATTATCCAATCATATGTTAATTATCCAATAATTGTGAGAAGTTGTGAAATCACGAGATCTGTAATTTCTAAATGTATGAGATGTCTTCAATCGTCAATCCAACTGCATTTTTATCCCCAGGTGTCCCAATCTTGGCTGTGTTCGCGACTGAACTTACGCATCAAAGTACCAGATTGCGACACGAATCCTGGTGGCTCATTTACGGCAGCGGCGTCTACAATATATTCGTCAGTTGCGCTACGATGATGTTTCTGGTGTTCATATTGCTATATATGGGAGTGCTTCACAAAGTCCACACGTTAATGGAAGAGAATATGATGAAAAGAGAAGCAATAGAAACAAGGTACAGATACAAATCCACTGTACGTTTGTAGTATTTGGGATAGCCTACTTATAAATCATTGCTATCATTCTTTATCGCAGGATACGAATATTGCACCATGCAGCTATTGTCATATGCGGCATCATCGCCATGGAGTCGTCGTCTATTATCTATATAAATTCCTCGTCCATAATCTTTCACTACGTATTTGCCTCTTTATCGTTCGCTTTGGTGAGTATCGCGCACTACTAGTACGTAATAATTACACAACAGTAGCTATATAATTACTACATTGTTGAACGGCATTCAACGGCATTAACGTAATTTTCTGTTGGCGCAGGGCTTCGACATAATAATCGTGTACATTGTTAATGCTGAGATTGCGATTATCAGGCCAATGCTGCGGAAAATCAGGTGGAAGCGCACCGTGGACGAGGAGCATACATCTGAGCCCATCAAAGGTATGGTATTGTTAGAACTCGACTTGCTTTCTGATCTGTACAGTAGTTTCTGATCTGTACAGGATATTCTATCATTATTATTATAATCTCTATATGACATGATATTTGTTAGTGTGCTCGAAAGGTGACGCAGAAATGGAAAATGATTCGGCAACACCCCCGACGGCCTTGTCGATCTCTGGTGACCCGTACCGGGAAGTACGCGGGATCGCCGCGGGTAGCATCGACATGCGCGAGTTCGTATCCGAGTCATCGTCCGTCTATTCCAGTAAATCATCAGCTGTGCCCGCGACCAGCAGATTTCTGCCAGAAATCCGGGTGGATCATTCGGACGACATCGATCTCGAGAACTACAGCACAAGTCCGCGCAAGTATCAGGAACCGGTGGCGGTGTTCGACCCGACCACCGCGGCGAGCACGTTCTCGGCGCACCGTGGCTCTCATTGTCTCGTCAACGACGCGGTTAACTACGGCGTCAACGAGTGCTGTAGCTTCCGCGGTGGCGGCAATGCCAACGGCGGCAGCGGGAACGGTGACCTCACCAAGTATCGACAAGGTGACGGCAAGGTGTTCTTGCCGACGAGCAGCGTGTCGTCGACCGACTGCCCGTCGGCCAAGGTCCTCTGCAGCGCCGACGTGGAATCGCGGTTGAGCGCGATGCCGGATGTCACGCTGGCCGTGAAGAACGACGTCGAGCTGCTGGCGAACACGGAACTGAAGAGCCGAGATCTCGCGGTGAGCAGCGCCATGCCAGATATCGCCAACACGAGCGAGCGCAAGCAGCCCGACGGCGAGGAAAAGAAGACCCCGGAGATCATGGTGACCGCCTGTGACAGCGTAACCAGCGGCATGCTGGATCGCATCTCGCACGATCTCGACTATCTGCTTAATCGCACGCACGCGAAGGAGAGTGCTTGAGACTCTCTCTCGCCTCTGACGGGCTGAGATACGTAGCGAGAAAGTATTCACGCGCTAATCGTGAACCAAGCCAATCAATAGGTTGTTACAATTTGTACAAAGACAGAGTTCGCCGCGGAACTTTGCGCGAGTCGAGCGAATCGTGTATTATTTCAGGTATTCGTTGTTATTTCTCTGTGACAGAGACTCTCATGAGACATGAATTCATAAACGTAAACGTGATATAATCGTATTTGGAAACTAAAAGCCAAAATCTAAGGTACAGCGATGTGCATTGATAGCCGATACGTTCGCATTCGTGATACTTTGTATTAGTAGCAGTAGAAAGTTCTTGACTTTAAGTCGATAGTTTAAGTTTTAAATTTCAAATCGGAATATTTGATAAATAGATCTTATGTGACAACTCCGAACGCAAAAAATCATGAGTAGATCCCGATCAATCGACGATATTCAATACAAAGTTCAATATCCACGCTGAAGTTACACTTTGTATCTGGATGGGATTGGAAAAATGTGCTCTATTATGAATTAATAACATGCAATTCGTCGTTTCTTTTTGTGGTTTCATGAAACAAACCAGTCAAGTAATTCTACCAAGCGTCTGAGTGAGAAGTACGCGCGTTTCTCTAGTGTTACGAAAAATTTTAATCGATAAGAATGTGAGCGTACGGCTATATTAATGCACGCCATTGCACAGTCTTTTCTCGTTTCTTACATTGTCGCTTAAAATCTCGCGCTATTTCGCCAGGCTAAAATTGTACGTAAAATACTCGGCGATAGTTGTAAAAGACCGTGCGGAAGACGACTATCGTCGCGCTCCATCCGTCAAAGCATACATCAAGTACAATCTCGCGTTCTTTCGTGCTGCATTATGGACACTGGTGCTTACGTCTATCGAATGTCGTAAGAAGACTTAACGTCCCTCCAATAAACGAATATCAAAAGTAAATTATACTACGTAAGATTTTAATCGATATGCGACGTAAACGTTCGCGAGCGTCAAAGTGGTGTAGCCTAAGTAATGGTATTCTAAAAAAAAATTTCCGAGTTAAAGTATTTATTTATCACTGTCATCGTACAGCCCTTTCATAATATCCACGAGTCAGTCGTCGCGCGCTTTTCCGTCATTATAATTTGTATTATAAAGCTATACACATTCATTTCAGTTTTGATAATCTACTTACATACTTAAGATCGAAGTGTTTATGTTGTTGTTTGTAGTAGTTACCTCTAGTAGGGTTAGTCGTTTACTTAATGAGAAATGCGTCACTGAAAATCGATTCGACGGAGGTATGAAATTGGAGCAGTATCTCTCTTGGCCAAGCACGTGTTATAAATGCAAAAGACGTAATAAGATCTGTGTTAGTCTGTTAGCACTCGAATATACCTATATGACTAGTTTTCTGTGTCAACAGATTTTTCTTAAAAATATAAAGTATTTACAAGGATTTCAGCTAATTTTATCGAGATTTAATAACCTTGGTTTAATCACATCAATAATACCCAAGTATAGTAGGGCCGTGGCTTCATCCGAGTTACCACCGAAGATCTATTTGAGCCGGTATTATATCGCGATCTGATCTATATATGGAACTAAAAAGAAAACAGTACAGTAAACGAACGAGTACGCCAGTGTCACCTTCTCTCTACCCTCGGCGAACGTTCACATTCGCTCAACTCTTACGCAGACTTTACGATACATTGAGTATTTTGGCGAGAGAACGACAAGAGCGGTGAGAGAACGAAATTCTCCCGAAGGAATATTCAGGCTCCCATTCGGTATTTTCTTTAATATTAATCGATTTTATCGTTGACTGTACAAAAGGATAATTTTGTACGCATGATTAAATGTCGATTTCTGTCGATTGATAGATGCGAAATAAATGTCACGATAAACACAGTCATCATTTTGAAATGCAGGATATACAGTTCCGAGAAAAGGGTTCTTAATTTTCCAACCTTCGCAATTCTACGAGACAGTTACAACCGACCGACGTGGTAAGCTTTTCCTCTCTCTCTCTCTCTTCCTCTCTCATAATTGCATCCCGATGAGTAGATTACAACAGTTAAATATCAAATCGTATACACAGTTGCGTGTATACGATACGAACCAACCAGCGGACTTCTAACTGCTCTCTTAATCGTACAATCACAAGTATTTGGTCTTTTTTACATTAGATTCATACATTTTTAATTTATTCGCATACCTATATAATGTAAAAAAACTCTAGAATACATAAAACCGATGTAATTTGACAATAGAGCTGTTACCCCCGACAAACTGAAACGAAAGTAAAGACGCTAAGCGATTCCTAATTTTATATTTTTTTTGCAGTCATAGCTTAGAGGTGTAGCCACGGCACCCTCCCATCTTTACTTCCATTCTCCTTCTCCTCTTTCTCTTCTCTCCACCCTTCTGTTTACTTAAATATAAAAATACATAGCCAGTCTATACATAAAGCGTGCAAAGTGGCACAGTGAACTGAGTTATCAGACGTCCTGGATGGTTAACTGCCGCTTTCGGTGATCGTCGGCGGTTCTGTCTCGTCGTGAAGCTTACTCGTTTTGTTACTTGACACGGGTATACCTGAGGTTTTTGGCAGCAGGTTAGTTGCACTATCACTATTGGACGCTGCGGCGGCGTTGCACACGGAATTGTCGAAGTGTTGCAAGCATGGAAATTCCGGACCAGGCAGCAATAGGGTGGTTTGAGTAGGAAGATTGGTTAACGATACCATTCCCGGCGTTACCATTTGCTTGTTAAAATATCTCCTCAATGCCTCTTCGATTAAATTGGCTATTTTATCACGATCATTCTGCAATATAGTCATGTGTAAGATGTATGCCCTAATTACAAGCATTTTGTCGGCCAAATTAGAAAACCGCCTAACTTACAAAATTCCAATTTTACGGAAGAGCTAAAAAACTGATTATTTTTTGCGAAAGTTATAAGTTTTTTGGTTCTCTTGTAAAATTGTAATTTAGTGAATTAAATTTTCTAATTTGGCCCACGACTTTGTAAAATTTCTCTTATTCTCTTTCTCATAGTTACAATCAATAATTATTAAAGATTTTTACATTTTCAAAGGCGAAAACTGTTATACCAACGAGAACCAATGCAAGTTAAACGTAAGTAAGTTGAATTTAATATAAATATATATACAGCTCGTTTCATTAAGGAGCATTCTTAGTTGCGACTAAAATACATGATTTCTTATATGATTAATATGAGGTTTCCGTAATATTCTTGGAGAAGCAATAATTAAAAGGAATTAATTTTCGTTTGTAGTGTTCCATGTTGATTCTCACTGGTCTGTTTCTTTTCTCTTTTTCTTGTAGATCGTAGACTTGCCGATAATACAGTATACGAGAAAAAACTTACCTCGTTAATAAAACCAAAATGTACAAGTTCCTGTGCAAGAAGCATCGAAGTATCCGTTTGGCTCACAGGACATGTTAACTGTCTATTCATCTTATCATCCATTCGTAACAATATTGTCATCTGTAAGACATACATAAAGAGTGCTTACTCGCTGTTTGCGAGCCGTTCAATTAGAATACTCTGTATACTACTTACAAGTAATTCACTACTTTCTTCTCTAGGCTTAACATTACACATCATATTAACTACTCTTCGAGACTCCACGTCCACGGGCTCAGGCGTAACCGATTTAACCGATTCTGTCACCTCGGGCGATATCGCCCTTGGTCGAACGGGCGGCGGTAATTTCGCCATAAATGCAGTCAATGGATATATTCCATATCTAAAATATGAAATCGTTTTGATCATCAAGTGATCGAAAGCAAATAATCTTGTCTGACGTACACATGACTGAGATAAACTCACTTTACATCCTCAACAAATTTTTCTAATTTTTCCGTAACGGGGATATCACTTAACCGAATTTGCTGCGGGGGCATTCCTTGATATTTTATTTCGGCAACTACAGTGTCTGGTCCATATAGCCTTTGCAACACTTCGTCCGTGATTGTTTCCGAAATGTTGGCTATAAAAAACAAACATGGACGTATGAGTCATGATTAAAGTTGTCGTGAATATCCTTGCGGTTCTATTTTAGCGTAATCGCAAAATAATAAATAATTCAGTCATATCTTATAGAAGAAAGTTACTCCTCAACCTACTGGCTGAATTGACCAAGGCGTGCGCTGCGAGCAGCTTAAGAGAGTGTACTTCGAACAGAACCGGGTGGAACAGCAACTCTCTCGCACTCGGTCTACTAAGCGGGTCCACCTGAAGACATTTACGAATAAAGTCTTTTTGTTGAACATCGTCTAAAGATTCTATTGTCTTCCGGATGTTCTCTTCGGTAACAATTGTACCCGTATCACCGTTTCCCTGAATTTCCAGCGCGGCCATTTCCAGAGCGCACATCCCGAATGAATAAATATCAATGGCTGGTGTGACAGAATCTTGAAAGACAATAATAAATTAATCGTACGATCCGTTCATGCAAAGAATCGCAACGAAATGTGTGTACTCACTTCCATATTCTGGGGCCACAAAATGCATATTCTTCATGTTTGCCCTGCAGGTCTTGACATGATGATGTATCGCATCCGGTGCCACTGTAATTAGAAGGAGATTATTGCAGTTTTCACAAGACACTCCGTCCCAAGCAAAGCGTCAAACATAAAAATGACATATTAATGTGAAAGTATTCGACGATGTGTTAGAAAAACTTTGATTGTGGGGCAGCCACCAGACAGGATACTGCATGTAATGCGAGTCAAAGCACAAGACTCGTGTAATCTTCGTTCTCGTATAGTTTCGGATTCGTTTCTTTTTTTTTTCTTTTTTTTTCTTTTCCGTATCTATTGACGTTTTATATGTCTGCTGGCTACTCAAGATGAATGAATAAACCTCTCTTTAGAAAAATTGTGTTCTGGCTGAAAATTTAATCCTAAGAGTAACTTGAGCCCTCATACAGTTAATAATTCTCGCATGTACAAATGTGAAAGTGTCTCTGAAAAGAGAAACATGTTTACTTTTTTTTTCTTTATGCAAAAACGTACAAATAAAAGGTTATTTCGTTCAAACAAATAATGTACTTGCATATGTTACTCGTGATTACAGTGATTCTGCTATGAAGAGCCACTTTTGTTGAATTGAAACAAGTACGTGGGGAACGGAACCCTCGAGAGGAAACCTTTGAGGAACCCTTTTTAATCGAGGACTGAAAGGGTATGAAAAAAAATAGAAGAGAGAAAAATATTGAAGTACAATGAAAATGCGTGCGCTAGGTGATTGTGAGGAGGACAAAGAGACACACACCGCGAGCGCTTTGCCCTCCTTAATTAAAGTACAATTAATAATCAGAAGGATAAGTAGTGCGACATAGCAGCACTATAACGTAACTAAAATAAATTTTAATTACTTCGCATAATTCTCTTCGTTTAAATGGAACTACTTATAATTAGTATAGAAGTTGTTTACCTCTATGCCTAATTTACTTAGCTGGCAATAGTTGACGACACACAATCTGCCAAATGTTTTTTTCTTGCAATTCACCACCTTTGAGACAATTACACCAATTGAAGGACACCGATGTTGGTGGATTCTATCCTCCGGACCGGTACGAAAGTACGTTTCGTACTTCCTCTCTCTTCACAAAGGCTTTGCTGTGTTTTTTTCATTATCTAGATTATGCCTATTTGCTACAATTAAAAATGAGGACTCAAGTTACTCCTAATATGAAAAGACGGTTTAAACACAATCTTTCTAATGGACTCATGTTACTAACGTTACAATAGAATTATAGGAAAACGTGTTATAATCTAGATATATGAGAAGAGAGAGCAACAATATATACATATATCATTCTAAACACCACTTAAATTCGAACGTAATTCGATGGAATCACATTCATTCTCATGTAGTCACGATCAACATTCTACTCTTAGCACACACGAATTATACACCTAAAATATTTACGCTAAAAATAACGAAATTTTAGCTATATACAAGTGATTAGTAAACATCACGTTTGATGCGCGTTCCTGTTGAATACATATTAGCAAACATGGTTTCACAGTGTTTCGTTTAGGCATAGAAACAGAAAAAAGTAACACCATGTCTTATAGTTGTAATTATTTGGGATAAATTTCTCGTATAAGACACGACAGAGTCAAATGTATTCATTTATATAAAGAAATAAGTATTTTCATGATGTGTGGCGCGTATGCCTGTGTCATTTCAGGGATGCACCTATTCCGACACACAGTAATATCACGCAGTAATAATGGCAAATCATGTTATTCGTCACGTTGCTTATTCAGTCAACAGGCTGACTCATGTAAATCTTATTTACTTCAGCTGAGTAACGAGTAACTAGAAAACACATAACACAATTCCGAGAATACCTACTTCGCCTTGTATTTCATACATATAAGCGGAACGAATACCAGTAAGAATATAGTTGTTATTTCTTTTCTTTGCATTTCTCAGACAATTAGGGATCGCACGGTATAATATTTGCTTTTCTCCCATGAGAAATTACGACAAAACAAAGATATAAGCTTCTGACAACCCTGTGAATGAGAAGATGGGGATACCTAGCGTAGTCTCGTCTTGCTATACAACAGTTACTTTCGTACAGAAAATAACGGATCTGTCGTACGACAGTCTGCATTTTCACAGTATTACCAGACACAAATTCAGATACGACGTATGGATGCACGTTCTATCTGAGTTTGTTTTAAATACAAAACGATACTTCCGTACACATTCTGTATTTTATGTTAGCAGAAAGAGTTCACACTACTTCTTTTGTCTTTCGCTTACACGAGTACTTACCTGAACCAATTTTTACAAGTCCATTATGTTGAATAAATATAGTGTCACAGGTAAGATTCCCGTGGATAATGGGAGGTGAACAGGAATGCAGATAACTGAAACATTACGACATGTGTGATTAAACGCATGAAAGATTAGTTACTCGAAAAAAAAAATATATATATATATATATGTATTGATATTAGGTATCATACGTCACATATTATATTTGTTACCTGAGTGCAGAAAGTATTTGCGTACACCACCGTTTCCACGCTTGTAGAGGCAACTTTTTTACATTGCGCTTTGTTCGTTTTAGGAACTGTTTCAGGGATCCGGATGACATATATTCCGTTATAAATATAACCTGAAGAATAACATAAGGAAAATGCATTTCAGCAGTGCTAGTATAGAGACAGAGGAAACTATAATTTTTATTATAACTATAGTTAACTAATTAATTTATTCACTTACTCGGGGCTTGTCATTGTGAGTATCTGTCCAATACCTATGAAATTTAACAATGTTAGGATGCTCTAGCTGCGTAAGGTTTTCAAAAACGAGCTGTATTTTTTCCTCCTGGGCTTTGAAATTTTTTCTTTCCGAGAATTGCACCTCATTCCATACCACTTCGACTCCTTCCTCTGTATCCATTGCCAAATAAGCACAATCGATTCCCGGAACATCGCTTTGTTCTACCTGTAAGCAAAATCGAATCTCGTATTTTCATTTCCTGGTTCAATAGGTTTGCTACTAAGGTCAAACACTTGTCTACTTTCTCTACAAAAAAAAGGAGCTAAAGTTCTGTTATTACAGATTTTTAGTGTGATACGGTTGTTACTTGACTTTCTTGGACATTATCTATTTACATTCCTTTCCCACTGTAAATGTAGATAAACTGTAGGGATTAAATGAATCATTAAGTATATCTTTATATCTATACTTAGGTAGATAAATATCAAACCGCTAACGGAATCCACATTTCTATTACTGAAGTGTCGTTCCGGATACTATCTAGTTATACCTAGATACACATACCCAGAGTTTATTACCCGTAACAAACCCGGAGTGAGTTTCTCCAAAACAACCTAGTCTGTCTATATAAAACGTATGAATAATATTGCTGTAATCGTTCAACGTCGTTTCCTAGTTCAATATGTTTATGAAATTCATACGCGACGTGTTTTTCTAGAAAAAGAAGTTGTAATGTTTTGCCGCTGAAAGGATCCCTTGTGTGACTCGGCTATAACGTGTCTGGCATAATACATTGTTGTTGAGTGGCATTTAGTGATGTCAGACGAGGTCGGTTAAAGTCAGATATCTCGGAGAGTATCTGTATCATTATCTCAGTACCCGAGTAACCCGTAAATCTATTAACCGTGGCCCGAAACTATGATTCAAGTATCACATTTTTTTCGAATGTTTCTTTTGCATTTCTATTATAAATGTACAGAAACCCGTGAGATCTTGAGAGTTCATTGGATACAATGTAAAGATTTACATGCATATATATCCGAATAAACAGATGCTAAATCGAATTCATGGCTATTAATCATGGATATTTAATTATTTTGAGTACTACCTAAGTACCTAAGTAGCCAAGTACACTCGTATTATAAATGCGTACTGTAAACTGCGAGAAACTCTGGGTGGGTACTTTCAATACAATCTACCAGTGTCTATATATATATAGCATAATGGATTGTATTACTGTAATCGTCCATTTTAAGCGTACTTAAAGTGGCGTTGAAACGATTTCATGCCTATTTACTATTACATGGATGTGACCTTGTCAGGAATCCAAGGAGGGGGAGCGATTCAGAAGAGAGGGTTCGCCGTTGCAGATATTTACGACAATGTGTCCAGCTTACGCTTAATAGTATAATACGTCGCGAATTATTACTATCTTCACCGAAACTCTATGCTCTCTTTCTCCCTCCCTCCCACTCTCTCACTAATTCTATATTTAGAAAGGTGCCTATAAATACTATATAGTAAACAGTATATGTATGTATATATAGTAAATAATAAACTGTATACTGTATAATAGTACACAGTACGAATAATAAGCGATTTTTGTGAGAAAAAATTAGTTTTTGAAGAAATAAATCAACTTAATGTGTACTTAAGACACAAATATGTAATCAAACACAAAAATTATTTTTGTTTCCCAATGTACATACTTCCATTTCAGTGACTTCGTTTTCAGCTCCTCTGGTCGACCCAAAGTTAGTACCTTCGGCTATCGTGGATTTAGAACCTACATATACCTGAAATTGATATATTCTCTTTGATTAACGCAAAATATGTGGATATATATATGGATATGCGAATGTACATCTCTAAATGCGCAAATGCACGTGTGACGCAATCTAATACCTATTTTATGTAAAGCACTATATATTTTTTTACATATGTATATGTGCGTATTTTAATATATTTTTTTTGCATGTATGTGTGTGTATAATGGTGCCAGAAAGCGTTAGTAAAGTAAACATCGCGAAAATAATTTGATTGATTTGCAACTTCGATAATAAGACGTCAGCAGCCTAATTTTAGGATAAGATATGAAAGGGCCTAATATTGGTGAGATGTTTGTGCCAAGAATTCGGTACAAGCTAAGATACAGATGAAGTATGCTGAATAACGAAAGTAGAGACGACAAGAATAACGATATTCTAAAGAAGATATTTTCCGTCGCGCAGAAGCAAATCTCTTAATGATCTAGAAGCTTTTTATAACAGAACCATCTGTGTACATAAGTCCACCTGTATAAATGCAACCTGAAATATATTGCCCTGATATTTATTATGTCATAATATTGAAACAAAAGTGTGTTAGATAAATTCACATCAATGATAGTGTCTCAAAAAGTATTTATAAATAGCAACAAGAGGCATAGAAGCTTAAGTTGCAGAGTGGTTGTATGTTTACAATCTCTATGATAGTTATAGTCTCTTGTGTTACACTATACACTAAAGCATATTATGAAGGATATTATTAAAACATTGATCTGTTAATGGAATAATTAATATTGCAATACATATATATTTTTACCATTATTATGTATAATATAATACACACAACAAAATATCTATTCAAAGGTATCAGCAACAATCTGATACTGCATAGAAGAATTTGTCTGCACGATTCTAATGATTATAAGAATCTAAAATGCGCATAAGTCCCAGCTACTTCAACACTTAAAGTCAATCCAGGATCTAAGTATCGAATTAAGCTTAATCTATGTTTAAGATCTATGTTTAAGAATGATAAATGCGTCAAGGCTGCGAGAGCTGAAATTATCATAACAGTTCTTAATATTCCATCAATGGTACTGATAATGATACTCAAAAAAAGCGAAACCCAAGAACACCAAAGATGTTCAAAGCATATCAGAAAGATTGTTACATATTTTGAACAATATTGCAATATCCTTTGAACTTATAGCACGCTCTTGAAGATTATAAATCGCAGATATGATATAAGCTGCAGGTACAATAAAAGTTAAGCCATGCAAAATTATAGCCATCTATCAGCTGAGGATCATCAGCTGGATGAGAAGGATACGTACTTCTTCCCTACGCTTTAGCCACCGCCCGCATGGGCTCTCTTCCAGGATCTCGCTCTCATCCTCGGAATCTTCACCACTTTCCCGCGGTGACTTGTGCTCTGGGTCCGTGCTGGAGCGGCTCCCGGGCATCACACACGCTTGCGATTAGTTAGAGCGGCAGCGGCGAACAGCAGGCCAAACTCATCGGTGGCGACGACGTAGTGTCTCTCACTCTCGCATCAGGCTGTTGACGCGACAACGACCGGCAACGTACTAACTCAAGATCGAGCGTGCACACGAGCGACGTAGAGTGATAACAGTAGCAACAGCAGCAGTAACAGCAGCGACGTTGGCGTCGACCACGGCAGCGGTGGCGGCGGCGATAACGATAACGACGACGACGACGACGGTAGTGGTTACGGGAACGTCACAGACGACAAACACTGCGCCTCGGTTGAGCGCGACAACACGTAGATACGTGACGGTCCTGAGGCCAAACTGCACTCACTCGCAGTGACACATGCAGATACACACACAGCGCGGACCGCTCTCGTCGTCCCCCGTCCTCCCGTCTGGCTGAGACCCGGAGCGGCGATATTTCTGATCTTACGCGGTGGACGGGTGCGTATCGGCGCTGCACGGCTTCGCTCAGGGACGCGCTGCGGTGCTGGACATCGCGCTAGCCGTACGCCTATCGCACTGTCAAAATAAAACCTCCCTATTGCCAGCGAGATTGCCTCGATGTGACACACACTCTGGCATTCATTTTCGCTGTGTCTTCGGTCACGTTCGCCCAGTATGGCGATCGCCGTGTCGCGTTCGCGCCGCACCCTTTTACTCTTTCCGTAGCGCCGTCTGGCGGCCAGCAACTGGCGACACGCTAATAACGGGATATGTGTAAACGCGATTGGACGATGCGATTGGACTAGTCACTTGTTTGTTCGGTCTTGGGACTTTCGATAGTAAATAGTGATAAATAGATATTATGACACTAGATGTAAAGTCACTAGGATTTTTCCACAGATGTCTATACTAAATTGCTAATAGGCTATCTAAAAGCATACTTGTGTCCGATAGAGTTTCTGGTGCATACGAGAAAATGGCTGCTACCTCCACTACGTTTAGTCATAAAATTTTTTTGTTGAAAATAAGCAGAGCAAATAACGTCCAATACCATCTATTTTTTTGTTATATTTTTGATGCAATAAGATGCTGGCATTTTTGGTTTTATGACAGTAATTTAATGGCCATGCTGACTCACGTCGATTGTACGTTGTAAGTACTCACACAAGTGACACGTTACACACACAACGTCATACACAGAACTACCGCCATTTTCTCGCTGCAACCGGAAACCTTACGTGACACACGTTCAAAGCTCTTGTTAGCAATCTAGTTTAGTATAGACATCTGTGTCCATTATACACTTTGGCTGCGTTCCGAAATTCACTGTCAATACTGAAATTCTTTAATATACGTGACATAAACTATAGATTTTCAGTATTGGCAGTAAATTTCGGAAAGCAGCCATTATTTCCGGTTGTGTTCGAATATTCACTGCCAATCATTGAACTATATAACATACTCGGCTGCATTCCAAAACTCTACTCGACTGGTAGAATAGCATTTAATTGACTAATAAGAACAAAGATAACTATGATTTCTTTATCATGATTGATCAATTAAATGTACTTTACTCATCGAATAAAATTTTTGAACGTAGTCTGGAAGGAGCACTGCCGTGGTGGGGGCTAAACTGTTCTGTAAGTCCCCATTCACAATAAGTGTAGTAAGCTTTAAGCCTTAAGAAATTGACCAATCACAGTCAAATTTGAGGAGAATAATCGACTGTGATTGATCAATTTCTTAAGGCTTAAAGCTTACTTACCTATTGTGGCTCGGGACTAATAGCGTATTCGACTGGCTCTGGGTTAATTGCTCCGAGAGCGATTAATGACGTCATAAGTCTCTACTAACCAGTCTACTTATAAGTACTTGTTCAACCAATAAACATAGGTTGAATAAGTGGGTTAACTCAGAGCCAGTCGAACATGCTATAAGCGTCGTCTACAATGGCAGTAGGAGTAGTAGTAAGAAATAAGCAGTAAACAAATTGACCAATTCCATTCTCACGTTTCAAAAATAATCGATTGTGATTGGTCTATTTACTTACTACTTATTTCTTACTACTACTCCTACTGCCATTGTAGATCACGCATAATGCCCAATTTCTTCACCTCCGATTAACTTTATCTGTCGGATAAATGTCAACCCTGATTGGTTAATCTTGCCAACCATAAATATGATTGGTCAATTCTAATAGAATAACTGGCAGATAAAGTTAACCGGTAGTGGAGAAATTGGACATTAGACAAAGACCACATCCACGTTGCATCTCGCTCTGTCTAAAGCCCGTATCAAACTATAGATTAGGATTGAGATTGAATTGAAATTTAGCCAATCAGAGCAAAATTCACTAAACTCAAATTTGGTGAACTTTGCTCTGATTGGTCAATTTTCAATTCAATCTCAATCGTAATCTAATACGTGCTTTAGGACTTTTGCAAGTAGAAAAATTTTAACTGTAACCATAAGATCGTAAAAAACTGACCAATCACAGTCGATTATTCTTCGCAAGGAGAATAATCAACTCTGATTGGTCAGTTTTCTTATAACCTTACGGTTACGGTTAAAATTTTTCTACGTACAAAAGCCCTTGGGGCTCCATACACAAATTGATATAACAGTAACGTAAGATGTATCGTAAGAATTGACCAATTACGATCGAGTATTCATTAAAATGGCGACCTTACGGTTCGACGATTCTCAACATGATCGGTAAATTTTTAGGGCCGTGGCACACAGAAAAACTTAAGCAGTAAGACGTAAGCAGTAAGCAAATTGACCAATCACAGTCGTTGATTCTTGGACCGTAAGAAGAATCAATGACTATAATTGGTCAATTTGCTTACTGCTTACGTCTTACTGCTTAAGTTTTTCTATGTGCCACCAGCTTAACAGTACGTCTTACGTTGCTGTTATGTCAATTTGTGTGTGAAGGCTCTAACTAACATTCTATAATCTATTGCTACTAATTTTTCATAGTATACAGGGTAAGTTTGAAAAAGGTACCAGATCTTTGAAAAGTTAAGAGACATAAGCCCATATTCTCAATTCTCTTTTATCTATAAAAGTGCCTCTAAAAGAGGTTTAGGAGTCACCTGATTGGCTGAGAAGCTATATTCAAGGCACTTTTATCGATAAAAGAGGATTCAAAATATGGACCATAGACGTTAGTTATATGAGAATACATATATATTATTATAAATACAAAATAAAATTGGTGTTTTAATTTTTCTTTATCATTAAGTTAATAATATATAAAATACGTTATTTTCAATGTAGGCTACATGTTTAGTTTATGTTGCAGTATATTGATTGGCTGTCGCGCGAACTTCCGCCGCGCGGCAAGCATTACCGCGTCCTGTGTGCAGGAGCCATAAGTCTTAAATCATTGAATGTAGACCAGGGGTACCTTTACGAAAAAAATACGAAAAAACCTTCAATTTTGGGTGTAAACACCCAAAAACTTGAAATAAACATTTAAATTTGAGTGTTACCCAAAATTGAGGGTTTTTTCGTATTTTTTTCGTAAAGGTACTTCTGGTATAGATTCAATGATTTAAGACTTAAGCCTTAAAAACTGACTAATCCTATTGGATCATTCTTATAATAGTCGACTGTGATTACTCAATTTTTAAGGATCGTGATTATATGTGCATATGGAAACTGCAATGTTTCAAATATTATTTCTTTTTATACGATTTTGTTTTACGAGCCGTAAGTGCTGTTATAAATAATGCAGAATTCCAATTGCATATTACATCCGATGTCCGATGTCCGATATCCAATAGGAGAATCAGTTTTTTGGAGACAGAAATATTGCTAGCTAGAAACTTTAGGAATCAAACTCTACTGTTGGATATCGAATCATCGTACATTGTATATCGGATGCAGTGTGAACCCTGCATAATACTTGACTAATCGTCGATTAAGGCTGCGTTCGGGAACGTCACTCGAGTACTCTCCCTCTCTTTTTATCTTACTCTTGTATTTCGCTCACTCCAACGTCTATCGTCTAGTAGTGTGCACACAGTGTGTGTTTCCGAACGCAGCATAAATTAATCGGAATTTTTAGGAAGTCACTAAATTTTCTCCCATAAAATCAAGTCATGATACATGAATATGTAGTAGCGAATATGTTGTATCGTGAGATTTTTATAACTTTGGTATCTATTAACCTATATATGCAGCTAAAAATATAATGATAGGATTTACAAAATTTTAAAATAAATTTAAGATTGTTTTAAATAAAACAATAAATTATAAATTCTGTCCCGCGATTAATAAACGTAAAGAGTTATTTGGCCAAAATTCGAATTCTACTTAACCGACATTGAACTCTGCTATGTCAAACTAGTGTCTTCGAGATACTGCTAGATGGCACCAAGTAGACTGTTCTGCCTTTATTAGATGCACGACGTATTTCTAACTTTGAAACTGGTACAGATGACGCGAGCGATCAGCGATCGGAAATTCAGTATCCGTTCAATCATTCATTAACATACTAACGATCGTTTCGGACGAAATTGTTTCAACGCACTCTGAATGCAGTCTAACTTCCAGGCAACATTTTTATATAATATTTTTTTCGACGGAAGACAACAGACAGACTCTAAAGGTTCTTTTATATTTTAAGAAAAGAAAGATCTAATATCACTTGGGGGATCAGAAGTAAAACTTCATTCGCGTAATTTTCACCTTTTGTACAATGGAAAAGTGTCGAGAATTCGCTTTTTTTCTGTTTTAATCTTTATTCGACGAAAGTGCTAGGTTCTGTGTAAATATTAAGCAAAGAACGAATAATGCTATTATATGTATAGATCTTTAAATTTTCTAGGATCGTGGAATCCCGCAGATATCAGTTCTCAGTGCAATATGCTTGCTGTCACCGTCGGGCAAAGCGTCTGCGCGAGGAAATTATACAATTTCCGGCTGTATTGGTAAGCTTTCAACTTTTTTTATTTTGCATTGACCTATACGTTTACCGTAGGCAACGTGCACTTGACATTCGTCCAGTTATCCGCTAGCATACGTAAATCCAATGCAATCTAGTCAGTCGGCACATAACAGACTCCGCGATGCAAAGGTTGCGCGGTGAAGATTCAACGTTTAATTTTCAAATAGCACTTTTATGAAGAGGAGCACATTACGTTCGTTTAGCTTGAGCTTTAACTAACGATTACGCGAAACTTGACATTCATTATATCGCGTCTCCAACGTTAACGCGCTTACGTCTCGTTAATTATCATGAATCGGATTAATGTTCACATGCGATGTTCTCTATTTAAAATTAGCTGTAAAATCCACCGGTGGACTATTTGTATTTCTTTCCGGATCATCTCTTGTACGCGGGAATAATGAGGGAGAGAGAGAGAGAAAGAAAGAGGGGCGAGAGGGAGAGAGAGGGAGAGAGAAAAGAGAGAAGCAAGAGGAATCGAGAGAAAAGGAAAGAGAAGGGCGAAGAATACGCAGACTAGGAGGGGTGCGTGGCGGTGAACAGTCAGGCGGACGAAGCAGAAAGCCAGCCAGAGAGCGGCTGGCTAGGGCTGAACGCTGGAGAAAGATGGCGAAGATGGAAACGGGCGAGTAAGAAGCACGCTCGCGGGTGGGACGAGGAGGAAGCGAAAGGAAACGAAGCGGAGCGGAGCGGAACGATTGGGATTTTAGGGGAGCGAAAGCGGCGCGTTTACGCTCCGCACCTCCGCCTTCTTTGCCGCTGCCATCATCGGCTCTCTTCTAATCCTAATCCTTGCCACCGCGACGCGATGGTGGTGGGTACCGCAACCTCGCCTGCTTCCGTTATCCTTGTCTCGCCGCCGGTGTAGCAGCCGCTCCCCCACTCCGCGCCTTTTAACTGGTTCTTCCCATACCACCCTCGGCCGATCGATGGTGACTCGTTCGCCCCCCGCGGTATGGCGCTAGCGTCGTCTAAGCGCCGTTCAGTCTGAACTCCGGTTCACTCAGTCTACGAACGTTTGCCACGAGACTTCGACCTCGCCGCATCGCACACTCTATCTCTCTCTCTCTATCCACCCGTCTGTCTTTTTTCCGCTTTTCATTTTTTCCCCGCTCGCGCGGCAGGCAGGAAGTCCAGCGGCGAAGCCGGGAAAGCCGCGCGTATTGTAGCCGCGCAACGGGTACAACGGGACTCTCGTCGTATCTCTCGTGCTTTCGTTACTCCGGCCCCATATAGTCAGTCATCGCCGTGCAACCTCTATTCGTCCGCTTCGACCGGCTGCGGATCTACCTGCGGCGCAGCGAGGTGAGTGGGCGACCTATCTCGCGCGTCTCTCCTATCTCTACCGTGCGCGTCGGCTTTTCCGTTACGCTGCAAAAATACGAAGCTCCTGAAATTCGCGCTACGATCTGCGCCAATTTCAAAACGGATCGCCTCTCGATCGCGAGAGTACGCACGTATACGCGAAGGTGTTCGACACCCTTGACGGCGGATCTATGTCATGAATTCCGACCGAATCATCCGTCCGAATGATCTCTCGCTTTTCTGTAATCAAGGCAAATTTCAGGAGTTACGGAGACAAATAAGCGCAGATATGAACCGCCATTTTTAAGTATACATATTTATATATGCATGCGTATGTATGTGCATATATATATGTACACATACCTCCCCATATAGCACAAATGTTCAATAGATATCCTAAGAACGTTCTAAGAATATTCGAATATTCTTAGAACGTTCTTAGGATATCTATTGAACATTTGTGCTGTATGGGTCTAAAGATGTTTTTCGTCTACATATTCTTACGAAATTAATCATCGAATTAGCTCACATTTGATACTTAAGCTCGAAATGAGCTTTTTACGATTTTTGACACATTGCTCCACGGTATACTGAGAGAGAAAGATATATAAAAATTAATAAATATTTATTCAGCGAATACTAATATATTTACTTATATTATTTATTTATTTATCTATTTTTATAAAATATAAAATATATAATTAGTAATATAAAATATGTTTCAAATAAGAAAATATATATTTTCTTGAAATCTTAAAAAAACTTTTGTATCTTTCAGGAAAACGACTATTTATTCTAATTAAATGAAAGAATTTAGATTTAAGTATATATTGTTAAATAAATATTTATTAAATAGTATTAAATGAATATATTTACTAAATTTTATATGGAAATTTTATATAGCTATTTTTCTCTCAGTGTGTTACATTGTAATTGAAACTATGCGATTTACTATGGCACTTTAATTTTATAATCATATAAATTGATGAAATAGGGGAAAACAGGAGATTTAATTCTAACTTGCAAAAAGTTATTAGGACGATTAATTAAGTCACATTCAATATCTCTTACTGTAAAACCGTTCGAGCCAGGTTATTAATTATTTCGAATGACAATAGAATATTTTAGCATTTACGACTGCAGGAGCGATCTGCGAAATACTCGTTCTCGAAATGGAAGGACGGAGCAACTGAAGAATATTTTACAAAGTAACAATTAATAATAAATGAGAGCACTCAATAAAAAAAAAGAGAAGAAAAAAGCAAACGTCGAAGCGCCAAATTCTAAAAGAGATCGCAGGAATTGACATCTCCAGAGAAAATCTGAAATATATCAACGATTGATCTTCTCTTTCGAACTTGAAATATTTTCCGCGGTCTCATCAGAAAATGCAAATATTCGCTTTACTTTAACTTAAATGTTTACTTTAAAACTTTGGGGCTCTTCCAAGCTTAATTTGATTTTCCTGGAACTGGCAATTAAACTATTCGGCATGTACATTTCGCCGGGGTTCTTGTTCTTCGGTTTTGCGGTCTCGTAAGGTGCTGTCATCTATTGGCAGGGAGCTCCACCTGAATAATATCCGCTAATATATTTATACGCGAACCCTACGCGCCCCTGCACCGGTAACTATAGTACACTTTGCCTTCGAATGCGAGAACAATCGATAAGCGGAGAGTAAAGGAGAGAACGAGGGGATATATCCGCGGCCATATATCTTGACAGCTTCAACGAAGATGAAAGACGAGTTTTTTCGCGCCGCTGTCAGAAAGCTCGTGCGAAATCGCAACTTGGGTAACTTTGGGAACTTTACGCAAGACGTCCCACCCTGACATTCGCGCGGCAACGCGAGTCCCGCTGGGGGTTGCATCGCGGACGACTGTCTGTGTTATACGAAATACTCTGATCGAGGGAGCACAGTTGACGCAGGAAACACAACGCGGAAAAGCCCATAAACACGGCGACTTTGTGCGCCAGCGAGTACACCAAGTTCCGGCGAAAATTCGTCGGCGCAAGTATTCCCTCGCTTGTCTCGGAATTTTCGAGTCGTGGCGAAACTTGCCCCCTTCGTGCGGATGAAAGTCGATAAATGGCGAAAAATTTCGTGTTTACTCACAGTTACTCGCGAGGGACAAACTTCGCGGGTGTGTTCTCTTTCCTTCTTTTTTTCAATTTGGTGTCCGCTTGCCCTGCATAAAAAAAGAGGGAGAGAGAAAGAGAGAGAAAGAAAGAAGAAAAAAGCAAACGTCAAAACGCCAGATTTATTGAGTGTCAGTTACGAGGCGACTCGCGAAATGCCCTGCTCGTACGGGGCGTGCCGAAAAAAAGAAGGAAGGGGGGTGAGGGAGGCGCAGGTAGAGAGCGATTTAATCGGCGCTGACTGCGCGAAAATCACAGTACTTTACACTTCGCGGCTGGCGGAGCATGAAATGCCGCGAGAGAGACTTGTGTATATACACCGTTCGGTGCATAAAATATGCATGTAGGTATGCATGCTGATGAGTGCACGCGAAGGCAAGTAAATCTCACAGTCGCGATTCACTCGCAGACTGCTAAATTACCACTCCCGGGTTAATCCGCTATGAACTGATTGTGTATACTCGACGCGCGCTCGGAGTAAGCGGGGCGACGTCCTGCAAAGATATGTGTCCGTATTTGCGTATTTGTTTTATATTTTCACAAGAGAGGAAGAAAAAGAGAAAGAGATGAAACACGTTAATCGCGCGCCGAAGGGTCGTTGGAGGGTCGGCTCGCAACGAAAACTGCGCGGAGAGCGCAAAGAGGTCTTTCGTGTACTTGTAAGAATGTGTTTAATTCGTTTTATCGCGCGCGCTCGCTGGCCGCGTAACTTAGCGAAAGAGCAGAATTCACGGCGAAATTCAGTCTCGCAGGAACGTTTATACGCTGAAAGAATGCGTTTCGGATTTTCTAAACCGCGACGTGCCGCTGGCGCGGTTCCCTTTTGAAAGGGAGCCTCGTCATTCTTCGCGGCACGAGCAAAACCGCTTCAGCCGGGAATTTTTGCAAACCGATCGCACTCGCGGTATGAAACTCGCGAGTGAGCGGTTTCTGCCGGCGGCTCTGATTCTGGGCCCCGTACTCTCAAATTGGAAATTTCTGTCTCGCGCGTCTGTCGACTCGATCGATCGACAAGTCGCCGCTGATGAGTGGCGCAACGGGACGTCGGAACTCAAATATTTCCCATACCTGCCGTAATGTTGGCGAAACTTCTAATTTCCCCATGATTGATGCAGGCATTTACATTTACGCGCATTACGTCGCGATACGTATATAAGCGCGTAATTTATCTCCAAATGGGCCTTCTTCGTCCCAGATTTTTTTGCGGAGAAGAGAAATGTCTCAGGCGAATCCCTAGAATCATGCCACCCCTCCTCAACTGTCATCCTGCTGGTCGCTTTCGAGCTATTCCCTCGTTTTTGCACATTAAGAGGTATAACCTGCGAGAAAGAGGCAGTGCCAAGGGGAGAGAAAAAGAGAGAGAGAGAGAGAGAGAGAGAGAGAGAGAGAACAAGAAAGAACGAGAGAGAACGAGAGCGAAAGAGGAGGAGGTAAAAGTTGGAACGATAGAGACAGAAGATTATGTCCAAATAATTTATTCGGTTATATGATTTATTACAGCTGCGTGCTATCGTTTGTATGATTAATTGCAATCAATAAGCGCTTTGGAAAATCACGGGCTGTAACATGAGAAGCTTAAATCGCCCACACGAAAAAAAAAGGTTGATTTCTAGTTGATTTTGCAAATTTGTCGCTCGCCGAGCAAAATTAAATGTTATAACTAACAAATAAACTTACCCAAACCTTACACTTAGATTTCTTTCTAATTTGGCACAAAAGTACAAAAAATATTTAGGTCATAATTTTTTATTTTGGCTCACTTTGAGTTTCATGAGCAGTTTATAGCTTTTTAATGTTCTTACTTCTATAACCAACAAGTGTAACAAAAATGCATAAGAAATAAAATTGAATACAAGATATAGGCGTTTTTGGTTTGCTGATTATCAATATGAAGTTAAATGTGTAAAATTACTTATATAGAATGGTTCGGGTCTCAGCTATGTTAATTTTGTTAAAATTTTAATTAAAATTGCTGGATTTCTCTCGATTTTGCCGAGATTTGAATCATTTTTAACTAATTTAGCATAGATTTAAAATATTTCGGTTGAAGTCTCGACTAAAGAAATTTAGAATAGTTCATGTCTCAGCTATGCCGATTTTATTAAAATTATTCAACTGTATTTTGTATTCAATTTTATTTCTTATGCATTTTTATTATACTTGTTGATGAGAACATTAAAAAGCTATAAACTGCCTGCGAAACTCAAAGTGGGCCAAAATGAAAAAATATGACCTAAATATTTTTTGCATTTCTACATTTGTGCAAAATTAGAAAGAAATCAATGTGTATCGCTTAGGTAGGTTGACTTGTAAGTAGATTTGTAAGTGCAGCAAAGATATTGAGTTTAGAAACATGTGTCAACTCGCTCATAGAACGAATTCACTTTTGCTGATATCATCTTAATTATTGCATTTCGCGCTAATTGAATTTGCGAAAAATTAATTCATTAATTTTACTAAACAAAACATTCAATTATTTAGTAGGTAATGAAAAAATATTTGTGCTCGTTTTGCGGAGAAGCGCACCCCCATTAAGTCTGACTGTGAATAACCGTAAACGTGAAATATGTTATTATGTATTATGCAATTCAAGTTTACCTTTTATAATTACACATATTTGCGTTGTAAAATATATTCATATAAATTATGTATCTTTGTGAATGTATTTTTATGCATAGTGTTTAGTGTGAGTAAACATTTCAATCAGCATTTTCGCTTTAACTAACGTCTGTTGCTGCAGTAACCGATGATTTACCTCAATATTTGTGAAATCCGTTGATGCATCAAATTTCCTTTAATGTAACAGCAGAATGATTAGTTGCATATCAAATTACATTTTCAAATTACATTTTCTATTGGTT